ACGTTTCGGTCAAAGTCGGACCGAAAAGTCTTCATAAGCTCTTCTCTCCTATGTGAGGGTTATCTGTGCATTGTTCCGGTCATTGTATTGTGCCTTTTTTATTCTCGAGGAGAAGTACTTGTCTGATCGGTATTAATACTTGTACTGTTTCTGGTTTATGTGAATGAGATTATACTTGGAGCATACCTGGAGAGGGTTTCGGGGGTCAACGTCCCCGCGACCCGGTCTGTGACGAGGCCTCTTGGTGGCTCAGGGCCTGATCAACCAGGCTGCTAATCCCTCTAGGATTTTCCAAGTGTATATAATCATTTATCTTTCCCGCCTGCATTCTAGGGAGTACAGGTTGAGGAACTTCAAGCGGCCCCAGTAATTGAGGTGCTTTATCGCAGATATGCGCGCCGTGAAGGTTCTCTGTACATTTTCTAGGTCAGCAATTTCAGCTGCCTTGAAAGGTGCTGTTAGTGTGCAGAAATATTCCAGCCTAGATAGAACAAGAGACCTGAAGAGTGTCATCACTTTCTTGGCATCCCTAGTTTTGAAGGTTCTCATTATCCATCCTGTCATTTTTCTGGCAGATGCAATTGATACAGTATTGTGGGCTTTGAAGGTGAGATCCTCTGACATTATCAGTCCCAGGTCTTTTACATTAATTTTTCGTTCTATTGTGTGGTTGGAATTTGTGTTATACTCCGATATAGTTTTAATTTCCTCACGTTTTCCATATCAGAGTAATTGAAATTTCTCATCATTGAACTTCATATTGTTTTCTACGGCCCATTTAAAGATTTGGTTAAAAAATTATACACATGTGCAACATCTGGGTATCTTCATTGTACAACTTGTCAGACACTGCAACATCATGGGATCTTGGTTCACAGGACATAGACATGTGTCTAATTTTTCAACTTGTTGGTATTGTATACCGTTCACGTACAAAGATTTGGTTGATGTCTGCCTGGAGTCATGCAGTGTCCTCAGTGGAAGACACTGTCATGCAAATTCGGGTGTCATCTGCAAAGGAAGACACGGTGCTGTGGCTTACATCCTTGTCTATGTCAGATATGAGGATGAGGAACAGGCTGGGAGCGAGTACTGTGCCTTGTGAAACAGAGCTTTTCACCGTAGCCGCCTCAGACTTTACTGTGTTGACTACTACTCTCTGTGTTCTATTTGTTAGGAAATTATAGATCCATCTACCGAATTTTCCTGTTATTCCTTTATCACGCATTTTGTGCGCTATTACGCCATGGTCACACTTGCCAAAGGCTTTTGCAAAGGTCTGTGTATATTACATCTGCATTCTGTTTGTCTTCTAGTGCATCCAGAACCTTGTCGTAGTGGTCCAGTAGTTGGGACAGGCAGGAGCGACCTGCTCTAAACCCATGTTGCCCTGGGTTGTGTAACTGATGGGTATCTAGATGGGTGGTGATCTTGCTTCTTAGAACCCTTTCAAAGATTTTTATGATATGGAAGGTTAGCGCTATCGGTCTGTAGTTCTGTGCTATTGCTTTGCTGCCCCGTTTGTGGAGTGGGGCAATGTCTGTTGTTTTAAGTAGCTGTGGGACAACCCCAGTGTCCATGCTCCCTATCCATAGGATATTAAAAGCACATGATAGGGGCTTCTTGCAGTTCTTGATAAACACGGAGTTTCATGAGTCTGGGCCTGGGGCAGAGTGCATGGGCATGTCATTTATCGCCTTTTCGAAGTCATTTGGCGTCAGATTCCAGTGGGGATGGAATCAAATGTTAACCCTGTTTGCTGATGTAATGCTAATGATGTAAAGTAAAAGGACACAAGTGCAACTAATGTGACATTTATTGTGGCAACGTTTCGCTCTCCAGGAGCTTTATCAAGCCATTACAAACAATACATGGACACAGAGGGTATATAAAGGCTCAGAGTGAGGTGAATACTAGTGAGGTACCATTTCGATGTTCACTAGTGGTAGTAGTAGTAGTAGTACGCATGTCAGAGACAAAGGCAGCACTTAGACATTTATTAAGGAGACTTTTTCCCCGCCAGAGTCATCATTAAATTGATAAAGCCCTGACGAGCGAAACAACTTAATAGATGTCCTAAGATCGTATTTTTGTCTTACAAATGGACGCATAAAAATCAACAGCAGGAATACAAAAAGGACAGTACTGATAAAAAACGGTAGGCATATAAAAACAACAGGAGGAATACAAAGGCCAAACAGCGGAAAGAAACACAAGGAATACAAAAAAAAATGGTAGAATATAGTCAGTGGTAAACGTATGAAAAACATCGGCAGAAGACAAAAAAGGTAGAAATACAAAAACAGTAGGAATACAAAAGAAAAGGAGTAAAAAATTAGGAATACAAACAGCAATAATTTGAATACAAAAGACAGTTGGAATATAAAAAAAATAACGTTAGGATACCTAAAATAACGGCAGAAATACAAAAAAAAATGGAATACCAGGTTTTTTAGAAATACAAAAAAAAAAAAAAGTTGTAATACAAAGAACGCTAAATACAAAAAAACTACGGTTTAATAAAAAAAAGACGATCGGAATACAACGATTGGGGAAAAAAATTGGAAGTAAAGAAAGTTCTACCATACAGGATCCAAAATACAGTCTGTGTCACGACACAACATTCAAGATTCTTTGAAAAACAAATAGAGAGAGTACCGGGGTGTGTGGGGGAGAGGGAGGTGTTGTGGGGGGGGGGTAGTTTAGGTAAGGTTTGTCAGGAAACGGGACAAGTGTTTCCTGAGGCGAGTCTTAGTCATATGATGATCTCACAGCTGGATTGTTGTTATTATAATAATCAACACTAAGCGCTAATCCCACCAGGGTCACACAGCGTTGCACCTCGCAGATGGAAGTTATGATCATCATCATCTTTGAAAAATTAAGGTTATAATTTGTAAAATATTCTTTACACAGGAAAGGGTATTAAAAATTATTCAAGAAAACAATATTGTTTGAAGGTGTTCATTCTGGACCTCAGGAAGGGTAAGATAGCAGTTCCAGTGTCATCTTTCAAGAAACCTTCACCAGCATCAAGTAACAAACATCAGTAAAATATCCCAGCGGTGCGTTTTTTCACAATTCTTCAGTCCTAATTAGGACTGAAAATGCCATTCGTGGGGAAAGTGTCATAAATGTATGTTTTTTAACTGTACGTACGTGTCTTCTTCCACATCTTGTTATCACCACACCCTGTACAACCATATGTCGAAATCTTAACTTAAGTCCATTATTATAATCGATTATTATAATCAAGAGGTGAAAAGCTAAACCCGTAGGATTATACAGCGCCTGTGGATGGGATGTAAAAGGTATTCAGGTTTAATTCAGGGAACTGCAGCACAGATCAAATTCTCTAGATCAAGAGCCCCTCACCAGCATCAATGAACCTTCCTTGAGGGGCTTAGAGGTCGAAATATACCGCCTCTATTTCTGTTTTAATTTACGTTTCCAGGTGGCTGTCTCCATTTCCACTGACAAGTGTTCAGTTACTTCATAATGCTAACAACATCGCTCCTCTTACAATGTTTTAAGACATCGAGTGTTAATGTTATAAAGAAACCTCCATCTTGCAGAGTTTTAAAAATTAAGGTTAACAGTTCTTGATGCAATGGTGGCTTGAAGACTTTCTGAGATGATGGTTTCTGAGAGTTCTCAAGGCGTATCACATATTTTTCATCACCTGTTATAAATGTAAGCTGGCTGCTACATTGTCTTGGGAGTCAAAGTCAACAAATTCAGATTTAGAAAGGATTTAGAAAAGTACTAGCTTTGGTAATTGAGTTACTGTTTATTATTAGTAGTGGTAGTAGTAGTATACTGAAAAATGCTAAATATATGTGGGGGTCATTTAGCCTCAGAAGAGTTGTTGATGAGTAGAACACCTACCAAATAGCGTCGCGTCACTGAGTTAACACCTTAGACAACCTTGACAACAGATTAGATAAATACTTCATATGAGTGGAAACTGTTGAACGTTGAGCAGGACTAGCCATTACGCCTACTGCAGTGCCTATATAAATGCCCTTATGCTACAAATATACAGTGTATGTACTTTATGCAGTCACCATGTAAAAGTACTACATGGTTCAGATTAGAATGGTTGTTGTTTAATAAGTATTATGCTCCCCATACCCATCCTGTAGGCGGTAATCAAAAGGTTACAGAAACACATGACGTGTCCAGGAACTGGGCCGCAAAATTTTGATAATTGAACAAGTTACAGTGGTAACGAACTATTTACATGTTTATATCTGGTCACAATTTCAATGACTTATTTATGCAGACATGAATTAGGTTGCACACACACGCAAAAAAGTGTGTTTATGCATTATTTACAGTGGGCAAAGTCAGGGTATTTTTCCAAAATGGTTTGTAATATACCACTCTCAGACTTTAGAAGTGTGGTGTGTTTGCCACTCCTGTTGTCTCAGTTGCACCCGGCGTATCTTACCACTCACTGTCTTTGGTAGAGACTCCACAAACTCAATCTGTAGCCAGAATTTAATACAGTATTAAAAATAATGTTGCTAAAAATACTTATTAGTAATTTTATTTTACAGTTAAAAATACCCTAAACATTGGTGACGTTCTTTGAATGGTAATGTATTATGTTTGTACTCTTGTTTTGCCTTATAAGTTCTGACGGGATGCTTCTGAACAGGCTTTCAAGGGAGAATAAACGAAAGATAGATGCAATATCTGACTATTATTAAGTAATATGGGGAGAAAACCACTTAGACGAATTATCTTGCAAATTATTCTTTATAGAACAAAGGTATTATCCATAGTAATCAAGAATTGACATACTGTAGTCGCAGAATAAACATTTTTTTTTTTTTGTCAGTTTCCATCGGGCCCAGCTGCCACTGAACTGTTTGCAATCCTAATGGCGCTAAAGCTAACTTATGACACTGAGCTTGACTCTATCATCATTACTGATTCTATGTCATCACTGAATGCTCTTAACTCATATAATGACTCCAACAACATGCTCATTGGAGAAGCCAGGTATAGATACTCAAAAATCAGGGACAAAGGAATTAATGTACAATTGCTTTGGATCCCATCACACATTGGATTACTCCTTCATGATAAAGTTGATATGTTAGCCAAGAAGAGTACCCAGAAGGAGAATGTAGAATATAACTTTGGTATATCTGTGTCTAGCATTAGGAATAATATTAGGAGAGAAGTAAATAATGAAAATTATTATAGGAATGCAGTTAGAAGCCTGAGTAGATCTATAACCCACTATGATAACATGAACGTAGATAAGTATGTTTATGGAGCAACTTGCAATGTGAACAGACTGACTGATGTTGTAGTGGCCAGGCTTAGGCTTGGTTACAAGTACTTCTGGCAGTTTGGGAGACACACAGATGATGATCAAACTAAATGTAAATTATGTGATCAGGCATATGGTCACTGTCTTGAACACTATGTGCTTAATTGTCCACTTATTGAGGAATACAGAGACAGACAGTATAATAACCTATGTGACATGTCAAGATATCTTATTAATGAAAATAAGATACCAGATATACGAAGCAAATTTCCTAAATTTGCTTGTAACAGATAATTGAACTATAGATATGTAGATATAAATCCATATGTATTCATGTTAACCTTTTGGGGCCTAGTTCCTAGGCCTTTTGAGTATCCATATGCTCTTGCTCTACCGTCCACAGGATGCATATGGAGTGTACAATAAACTAGCCACTTTGGTGGCAAAATCTAAATCTAAAATCCAGCTGCCGACGATCGGCAATGTGAAGGTGTTGACTCCTGTTTAGAAAGCATAAAAGGCACATTATGAGAGTCGCCTCTGTTAGAAAAAAGTCTAAAGGCAGTAACTCGTAGGCAGTCTTAGAATTTTTCCTGTTTATGCTGTTATATTGTTAATTCCCATGTATGTCTGTGGCCACATAATTATATATAATATTATTTATTACAAATTTGTTAACGTGGTTTAACAAGGATAAAAATGTTAAACTATTTTACAAATAAAATGGTCAAATCTACACCTATACATCTGAATTTAACTGTTTCGTTGCATTTTTTAAACCATTTCTGAGCGTTTTATCTTACGCTCCGTTGTGGAACATATCCATAACATTCCAGGATGATGGGAATTTCGCTCTGTGCTGACGAAACGTTGTGAAAATAAAAGCTGCACCTCTTCATTTAATCTATATACATATTCCTGCGGAAAAGAATGTGGGAGTATATAGAGTAAGGGCGGACAAATTATAGCCCAGGGCCAGATTGTCGGTCCGCAATGAGTCTTAACAGGAATTCTTTAGTTTCTCGTAAAAAGAAAAAAGATATGATTGTAATTTATGAATGTGTGGTAAGGTGACTGGTCGATCAAGTAGTGGGTGAGACTGCTGTAGCCTCACCCGGCCAGGAATAACTACTGATACTTCTCGGTCATATACACTGAGGTTCCCCACTTCACTGTACCGGTGAGAAAGTTAATTAAGATTTTGTTGGTATTTTTAACCCCGTAGGGTTAGCCACCCCGGATAATTGAAGAGAGTCAAGTGCGTCATCGAGGACTGTCTTATTTCCACTGGGATCTTTCAATCTTGTCTCCCAGGATGCAACCCAAATCAGTCGACTAACACCCTCGTGCCTACTTGCTTGTTAGGTGAACGGGGACAGCAGGTGTAAGGAAACAATTAGTGTTCCCACCCGGCCGGGGATTGAACCACGGACACTGAGGTGAGAGTGTTTCCTACCAGGCCACATTATAGTCATTATTATATTCATAGTTAAGTGATAATCTCATACAACATCTGGGAAACAGGAGGGTGTACGGGGGTACACAGACTTGAGCCCCCCCCCCCCCCAAAAAAAAAAATAGCTGCAACTGCTTATTCTGAAGGTTATCAGCGTATGAACGGTAACTAGGTTGGTAGCGCACTCAACTCACACAATAAGGTCCGTGGTTCGATCCCCGGTACGGGTGGAAACATTGGGGAGTGTTTCCTTTATACACCTGCTGTCTCTGTTCACCTAGCAGTAAATAGGTACCTGGGTGTTAGCCGATTGGTGGAAGTCGCATCCTGGGTACAAAATTAACCTAATTACCCGAAATGCTCTGCGTAACCAAGAGCTTTCTGTATAATGTTACTGATGTCTGCTAGGTCTGTATACCTTGTACATGTAGAAATAAAGGTTGTTATTATTATTATTATACCTTTCTAGGGTACTTGTATGGCGCTGTGGTGGTCTTGACGTGGTTCTGAAGCTGCACTACCAGGGTCTGGGGATCACAGTCTTTATAATCATCAGCGAGGACAACAAAGGCCTTCACTACCTCACTCCTCAGAGGGTCAGGGGACGACACCACTGCTGACTCCGCCACAGCAGGATGCTCCAGCAACGCAGATTCTACCTCGAATGGTCCAATGCGATAGCTAGAAATAAATGTACTTTAAGAATGCCGTAGCATGAACAATTCACAAATAACTCACACTCAAAGAAGAAACCTAAGACGATGTACTACTACTTCTGATACTCTCTTGCTGTTACTACTACTACTTCCTTCTTCCTCCATCCCTCTTCCCGGCCTGTCTTCTGGGCTTTACTTTCTCATACATTTGTGACATGATAATGGTCCTGGGCAGGACAGAAACGTAGTGTAAAGTCTTCTCTCCAAGTGTGGGTTATTTGTGAATTAGATGTATATTGTGTGTGTGTACGTGTGAAGACAACTATAAGGAAAGAAAAAAAATCCAATAATTGTTATGGTAATCATACCCATCATAAGAGACGACAGTAAAGCTAATATGTGTGTAAGAATGAAAGTTTGTAAAACCCTATAAGAAACGAGTGGAATATTAATTAACAAATACTTTTATATCTTATTACCAACGAGTGAAGGACTAATTCATATTCCTCACATCCCACTCAACTTAACTGGAGAGGATTTCGGGGGTCAACACCCCCGCCCTCATGGTGGATCAGGGTCTGATCAACCAGGCTGTTACTGCTGGCCGCACGCAAGCTGACGTACGAATCACAGCCCGGCTGGTCAGGTACTAACTTTAGGTGCCTGTCCAGTGCCTTCTTGAAGACAGCCAGGGGTCTATTGGTAATCCCCCTTATGTATGCTGGGAGGCAACTGAACAGTCTTGGGCCCCGGAAACTTATTGTATTGTCTCTCAGTGTACTCGTGGCGCCCCTGCTTTTCATCGGGGGAATGTTGCATCTCCTGCCGAGTCTTTTGCTTTCATATGGAGTGATTTTCGTGTGCAAGTTTGGTACCAATCCCTCCAGGACCTTCCAGGTGTATATTATCATGTATCTCCCTCGCCTGCGTTCGAGGGAATACAGATCAAGGACCTTCAACCGTTTCCAGTAGTTTAGGTGCCTTATCGCACTTATGTGTGCCTTGAAAGTTCTTTGTACACTTTCCAGGTCTGCAATGTCGCCAGCCTTGAACGGGGCCGTTAGTGTACAACAGTATTCCAGCCTAGAGAGCACAAGCGATTTATAGAGAATCATCATGGGCTTGGCGTCCCTAGTTTTGAAGGTTCTCATTATCCATCCTATCATTTTCCTAGCGGATGAGGTAGATACATTGTTGTGGTCTTTGAAGGCGAGATTCTCTGACATTATCACTCCCAGGTCCGTCACATTACTTTTCCGCTCTATTGTATGGTTAGAATTTGTGGTATACCCTGACACATTTTTAATTTCTTCAAGTTTTCCAAATCTGAGTAGTTGAAATTTCTCCTCGTTGAACTTCATATTATTTTGAGTGTCCCATTCGTAGATTTGGTTGATGTAAGTCACTGTATTTCTATAACGGCGCGAGGGCATTGAGCCCCTAAACCCTCTCCAGGTATACCCCAGGTATGAGATATAGTGGAACCCCGGTGTTGGAATGTACCGGACAGAATCCGAACAATTTTGTTCAGAAAAACTGACCCGGTCTTTGAACGTTTTTTTTTTTTCTGGAGTCCGAACGCGCTGGCTTGTTTAACATTCAGTTTGTATAAAAAAATACCGGAAAGCCGTTTCAAAAGTGCTTTGAAGTGACCTCTGATACTGACTTAACTCAGAGACTTTTGAAAGAGTCAGTTCAACATCCTCCAGTGTGTGAGGCTGATAATTAAAGCCTGGGAAATATTGTTTCGGACATCGAACTTTTCGCAGTTCAAACACCACTTAAGAACCAATTAAGTTAAAACACTGGAGTTCCACCATATTAAAAGGTTTGTTAACCTTCATGGTGTCGGTGTGTGCGCGTGTGTGTGTGTGTTATGGTTACAGGGATCGATTTTCAGATCCTGGCCCCACCTCTTAAAGATTCATTCCCTTTTAACAATCGTGGGCCGTATCGTACCTGTTCTTAAAACTGTGTACGAAGCCTGTCTCCATCACTCTGAGACAAGAAATAGTTATAAACATCCCTGTATCTCATGTGACTACCTTCCAACGGTGTCCCCGAGCTGGTTTCTCGCCTCTCAGACAGCCTGTCCCTGTCTACCTAATCAATTTCCCCTGAGTTATTTGTATGTTACGTCTGTTTCCTGGTTCTTTTGTCCTCCAATATCGTTAGATTCCATTCTGTTAGCCTCCCCTTATAGCTCATGCCCCTTAGCTCAGGAATTACCCTTGTTGTGTCAGCATAGTTGCTGATCCCGTATATGTGTATGTTATTTGAGTATCATAGTCAGTACCACCCATATGTTTTACATACACGACCCCTGGCAAGGCCCAGTGACTAGTTTGTGTGACGTCACGTGATGCCGCATGAGTGCGTGGGATGCGCTCCCTAGGCCTCAGTTCCCCATAATCCAAGCCTGCCTCAGGATAGGCAGTTTGGGCTCTCCCTTCTCACACTCTGCAATATAGTGTTACCATCCAACAAGTGTGTTTAACTCCAACCTTCATATCTCCACGAACCCTTTCCACAAATGGTGGCAGCGGTGGGATGTTGGAATAAGAAACGGTCTTAAATATATATATGCATACTGTAGCATAATAAAACTAATGTGAATACTGCATTCAAAGCATATGCCAATTAATTTTTTCATTACAGAGCAGTAACTACTATGTCTTACCTTCCTCATGTTGCTGAAGCATCTGGGCAAATTCATCATTAATATGGCTATTGGTTACTTTTCTTCTACTTGTCATATTTATAAGATTATGATATAATTTCTTGAAAACCTGAAATAGTAGTTGAATACCTCTGCACTTTCTTGCTATGCTTTTTCAGGTCTGTGTTCCATATTGGTGCTGCTTACTCCAAAGTGGGCCTAACGTATATTGTATAACGGATCCAGAATGACTTTTTGCTGAGATTTTTGATAGCTACTCTTAGATTTGCCAGACGAACATTGGCTGCTGAGGTTATTCAGCTTTTGTGAGCCTCGGCGATATACCCCTAGGTCTTTCTCTTTGAGCAAAGTCTGCAGGCTCTGTCTCCCTAGCCTATACCCTGTTTCCAATTTTCTTACTTCCCCAATCTTCTTGACCTTGCATTTACTGGGGTTGAATTCAAGCAACCACTTGTCTGACCGCTTGTAATCTGTACAGATCCCTTTGGAGCCTCTCCTTTTCTTCATCTGTTATTTTCCTCATTAGTTTTACATCATCCGATATGTATGCATCTGAATCAGTCCCACTTAGAATGTCATTCACATAAACCAGAAACAATACTGGTTCCAATACCGATCCATGCGGAACCCCGCTAGAAACTTCCCCAATTTGACATCTTTGTCCCGACAGTCACTTTTCCCCCCTTTCCCTAAGATACTATTTGATTCCCACCTGACTTCTCAAGTTTTGGGCCCAGCCTCTTGTATGGTACAGTATTAAACGCCTTGCAGTCTAAAAAAAAAATGCAATCCACCCAACCGTCTCTCTCTCCTCACACATTTGTTAATTTGTGATAGAACAAGTATGTCACAGTAAATGTATGAAACCATGAATACTTGGAATCCCAAGTAAATAAGCGCAATTACTGTCACCCCAGTTATTACACACAATCCTTGCACTTGCTGATCCTGTTTATGGAGCAATAAATGTCAGGGCTCAAGATTCATGATCTGCCTCCCAGCATACATAAGAGGAATTACCAATAGAACCCTGGCTGTCCTCAAGAGGGAGCTGGACAGGCACCTCAAGTCAGTACCTGACCAGCCAGGCAGTGGTTCGTACGTGGTTTGCGTACTGCCAGCAGTGACAGCCTGGTTGATCAGGCCCTAATCTACCGCGAGGCCTGGTCATGGACTGGGTCGCGGGGGCGTTGATCCCTGAAACTCTCCAGGTATAAGATGATAATTGACTGTTGACGGTCTCATCCTGTAGGTGGGAGGGGGAAGTCCACTGGAAATATGCTATACGTACTAGTTGACTTTCATTATCCTAGGTTAAAGAAACCTAGAATAAGAGTGTATTTATACCTGTATGAAGTACACAAAGCAGCAGGTGTGAAAGCATTACTGACCCAGCAGATAAAATAATGTCATCAGCTCGTCCAACAAACCAGAAGTAGTCGTCATCATCGTAGTAACCTCTGTCACCTGTAACGTAGTAGTCACCCACGAACGCCTCTGAAGTTTTTCTCTCATCAGACAAATACCCTGAAATTAATGAAACTTGTAGCCCTGTCTATTCTATATTAATACTGTATTAAGTAATATAAGAACTGAGACGTGTGTGGGATAATTTTGAATAGTGTACGGCGGTTTCGGTGGGCATAGTAGAGCGGAATACTTTAGACTAGCCTTGAATAGTAGACTGTGTGACACTGTAACCACGTGTGCTAGTGCAGGATTGTGTAACACTGTAACCACGTGTCCTAGTGTAGGACTGTGTGACACTGTAACCACGTGTGCTAGTGCAGGATTGTGTAACACTGTAACCACGTGTCCTAGTGTAGGACTGTGTGACACTGTAACCACGTGTGCTAGTGTAGGACTGTGTGACACTGTAACCACGTGTCCTAGTGTAGGACTGTGTGACACTAACCACGTGTCCTAGTGTAGGACTGTGTGACACTGTAACCACGTGTGCTAGTGTAGGACTGTGTGACACTGTAACCACGTGTCCTAGTGTAGGACTGTGTGACACTGTAACCACGTGTGCTAGTGTAGGACTGTGTGACACTGTAACCACGTGTGCTAGTGTTGGACTGTGTGACACTGTAACCACGTGTGCTAGTGTAGGACTGTGTGACACTGTAACCACGTGTGCTAGTGTTGGACTGTGTGACACTGTAACCACGTGTGCTAGTGTAGGACTGTGACACTGTAACCACGTGTGCTAGTGTAGGACTGTGTGACACTGTAACCACGTGTGCTAGTGTAGGACTGTGTGACACTAACCACTGTGCAAGTGTAGGACTGTGTGACACTGTAACCACGTGTGCTAGTGTTGGACTGTTTGACACTGTAACCACGTGTGCTAGTGTAGGACTGTGTGACACTGTAACCACGTGTGCTGGTGTTGGACTGTGTGACACTAACCACGTGTGCTAGTGTAGGACTGTGTGGCACTGTAACCACGTGTGCTAGTGTAGGAGTGTGTGACACTGTAACTACGTGTGCTAGTGTTGGACTGTGTGACACTGTAACCACGTGTGCTAGTGTTGGACTGTGTGACACTGTAACCACGTGTGCTAGTGTAGGACTGTGTGACACTGTAACCACGTGTGCTAGTGTTGGACTGTGTGACTGTAACCACGTGTGCTAGTGTAGGACTGTGTGACACTGTAACCACGTGTGCTAGTGTAGGACTGTGTGACACTGTAACCACGTGTCCTAGTGTAGGACTGTGTGACACTGTAACCACGTGTGCTAGTGTAGGACTGTGTGACGCTGTAACCACGTGTGCTAGTGTTGGACTGTGTGACACTGTAACCACGTGTGCTAGTGTAGGACTGTGTGACACTGTAACCACGTGTGCTAGTGTAGGACTGTGTGACACTGTAACCACGTGTGCTAGTGTAGGACTGTGTGACACTGTAACCACGTGTGCTAGTGTTGGATTGTGACACTGTAACCACGTGTGCTAGTGTTGGACTGTGTGACACTGTAACCACGTGTGTTAGTGTTGGACTGTGTGACTGTAACCACGTGTGCTAGTGTAGGACTGTGTGACACTGTAACCACGTGTGCTAGTGTAGGACTGTGTGACACTGTAACCACGTGTCCTAGTGTAGGACTGTGTGACACTGTAACCACGTGTGCTAGTGTAGGACTGTGTGACACTGTAACCACGTGTGCTAGTGTAGGACTGTGTGACACTGTAACCACGTGTGCTAGTGTTGGACTGTGACACTGTAACCACGTGTGCTAGTGTAGGACTGTGTGACACTGTAACCACGTGTGCTAGTGTAGGACTGTGTGACACTGTAACCACGTGTGCTAGTGTAGGACTGTGTGACACTGTAACCACGTGTGCTAGTGTTGGACTGTGACACTGTAACCACGTGTGCTAGTGTTGGACTGTGACACTGTAACCACGTGTGCTAGTGTAGGACTGTGTGACACTGTAACCACGTGTGCTAGTGTTGGACTGTGACACTGTAACCACGTGTGCTAGTGTTGGACTGTGTGACACTATAACCACGTGTGCTAGTGTAGGACTGTGTGACACTGTAACCACGTGTGCTAGTGTAGGACTGTGTGACACTGTAACCACGTGTGCTAGTGTAGGACTGTGTGACACTGTAACCACGTGTGCTAGTGTAGGACTGACACTGTAACCACGTGTGCTAGTGTTGGACTGTGACACTGTAACCACGTGTGCTAGTGTTGGACTGTGACACTGTAACCACGTGTGCTAGTGTAGGACTGTGTGACACTGTAACCACGTGTGCTAGTGTTGGACTGTGACACTGTAACCACGTGTGCTAGTGTTGGACTGTGTGACACTATAACCACGTGTGCTAGTGTAGGACTGTGTGACACTGTAACCACGTGTGCTAGTGTAGGACTGTGTGACACTGTAACCACGTGTGCTAGTGTAGGACTGTGTGACACTGTAACCACGTGTGCTAGTGTAGGACTGTGTGACACTGTAACCACGTGTGCTAGTGTAGGACTATGTGACACTGTAACCACGTGTGCTAGTGTTGGACTGTGTGACACTGTAACCACGTGTGCTAGTGTAGGACTGTGTGACACTGTAACCACGTGTGCTAGTGTAGGACTGTGTGACACTGTAACCACGTGTGCTAGTGTAGGACTGTGTGACACTGTAACCACGTGTGCTAGTGTAGGACTGTGTGACACTGTAACCACGTGTGCTAGTGTTGGACTGTGTGACACTGTAACCACGTGTGCTAGTGTAGGACTGTGTGACACTGTAACCACGTGTGCTAGTGTAGGACTGTGTGACACTGTAACCACGTGTGCTAGTGTAGGACTGTGTGACACTGTAACCACGTGTGCTAGTGTTGGACTGTGTGACACTGTAACCACGTGTGCTAGTGTAGGACTGTGTGACACTGTAACCACCTGTGCTAGTGTTGGACTGTGTGACACTGTAACCACGTGTGCTAGTGTAGGACTGTGTGACACTGTAACCACGTGTGCTAGTGTAGGACTGTGTGACAATGTAACCACGTGTGCTAGTGTAGGACTGTGTGACACTGTAACCACGTGTGCTAGTGTTGGACTGTGTGACACTGTAACCACGTGTGCTAGTGTAGGACTGTGTGACACTGTAACCACGTGTGCTAGTGTAGGACTGTGTGACACTGTAACCACGTGTGCTAGTGTAGGACTGTGTGACACTGTAACCACGTGTGCTAGTGTTGGACTGTGTGACACTGTAACCACGTGTGCTAGTGTTGGACTGTGTGACACTGTAACCACGTGTGCTAGTGTAGGACTGTGTGACACTGTAACCACCTGTGCTAGTGTTGGACTGTGTGACACTGTAACCACGTGTGCTAGTGTAGGACTGTGTGACACTGTAACACCTGTGCTAGTGTTGGACTGTGTGACACTGTAACCACGTGTGCTAGTGTAGGACTGTGTGACACTGTAACCACGTGTGCTAGTGTAGGACTGTGTGACACTGTAACCACGTGTGCTAGTGTAGGACTGTGTGACACTGTAACCACCTGTGCTAGTGTTGGACTGTGTGACACTGTAACCACGTGTGCTAGTGTAGGACTGTGTGACACTGTAACCACGTGTGCTAGTGTAGGACTGTGTGACACTGTAACCACGTGTGCTAGTGTAGGACTGTGTGACACTGTAACCACGTGTGCTAGTGTAGGACTGTGTGACACTGTAACCACCTGTGCTAGTGTAGGACTGTGTGACACTGTAACCACCTGTGCTAGTGTAGGACTGTGTGACACTGTAACCACGTGTGCTAGTGTAGGACTGTGTGACACTGTAACCACGTGTGCTAGTGTAGGACTGTGTGACACTGTAACCACGTGTGCTAGTGTAGGACTGTGTGACACTGTAACCACGTGTGTTAGTGTAGGACTGTGTGACACTGTAACCACGTGTGCTAGTGTTGGACTGTGTGACACTGTAACCACGTGTGCTAGTGTAGGACTGTGTGACACTGTAACCACGTGTGCTAGTGTAGGACTGTGTGACACTGTAACCACGTGTGCTAGTGTTGGACTGTGTGACACTGTAACCACCTGTGCTAGTGTAGGACTGTGTGACACTGTAACCACGTGTGCTAGTGTAGGACTGTGTGACACTGTAACCACGTGTGCTAGTGTAGGACTGTGTGACACTGTAACCACGTGTGCTAGTGTAGGACTGTGTGACACTGTAACCACGTGTGCTAGTGTAGGACTGTGTGACACTGTAACCACGTGTGCTAGTGTAGGACTGTGTGACACTGTAACCACCTGTGCTAGTGTTGGACTGTGTGACACTGTAACCACGTGTGCTAGTGTTGGACTGTGTGACACTGTAACCACCTGTGCTAGTGTTGGACTGTGTGACACTGTAACCACGTGTGCTAGTGTAGGACTGTGTGACACTGTAACCACCTGTGCTAGTGTAGGACTGTGTGACACTGTAACCACGTGTGCTAGTGTAGGACTGTGTGACACTGTAACCACGTGTGCTAGTGTAGGACTGTGTGACACTGTAACCACGTGTGCTAGTGTAGGACTGTGTGACACTGTAACCACGTGTGCTAGTGTAGGACTGTGTGACACTGTAACCACGTGTGCTAGTGTTGGACTGTGTGACACTGTAACCACGTGTGCTAGTGTAGGACTGTGTGACACTGTAACCACGTGTGCTAGTGTAGGACTGTGTGACACTGTAACCACGTGTGCTAGTGTTGGACTGTGACACTGTAACCACGTGTGCTAGTGTTGGACTGTGTGACACTATAACCACGTGTGCTAGTGTAGGACTGTGGGGACACTGTAACCACGTGTGCTAGTGTAGGACTGTGTGACACTGTAACCACGTGTGCTAGTGTTGGACTGTGACACTGTAACCACGTGTGCTAGTGTAGGACTCTGTGACACTGTAACCACGTGTGCTAGTGTAGGACTGTGTGACACTGTAACCACGTGTGCTAGTGTAGGACTGTGTGACACTGTAACCACCTGTGCTAGTGTTGGACTGTGTGACACTGTAACCACCTGTGCTAGTGTAGGACTGTGTGACACTGTAACCACGTGTGCTAGTGTAGGACTGTGTGACACTGTAACCACGTGTGCTAGTGTAGGACTGTGTGACACTGTAACCACGTGTGCTAGTGTAGGACTGTGTGACACTGTAACCACCTGTGCTAGTGTAGGACTGTGTGACACTGTAACCACCTGTGCTAGTGTTGGACTGTGTGACACTGTAACCACCTGTGCTAGTGTAGGACTGTGTGACACTGTAACCACCTGTGCTAGTGTTGGACTGTGTGACACTGTAACCACCTGTGCTAGTGTAGGACTGTGTGACACTGTAACCACCTGTGCTAGTGTAGGACTGTGTGACACTGTAACCACCTGTGCTAGTGTTGGACTGTGTGACACTGTAACCACCTGTGCTAGTGTAGGACTGTGTGACACTGTAACCACCTGTGCTAGTGTTGGACTGTGTGACACTGTAACCACCTGTGCTACTGTAGGACTGTGTGACACTGTAACCACCTGTGCTAGTGTTGGACTGTGTGGCACTGTAACCACCTGTGCTAGTGTAGGACTGTGTGACACTGTAACCACCTGTGCTAGTGTTGGACTGTGTGACACTGTAACCACCTGTGCTAGTGTAGGACTGTGTGACACTGTAACCACGTGTGCTAGTGTTGGACTGTGTGACACTGTAACCACCTGTGCTAGTGTTGGACTGTGTGACACTGTAACCACCTGTGCTAGTGTTGGACTGTGTGACACTAAGGAAGCAAGAGAGAATAAAGAACAGGTCAGAAACTTTCAAATAGTGTGGAAGTATAATTTTATATGAAGAGGTGTTGGATACGGAGTGCTGTGAAAATGTCCAGAACAGAGAAACATAAATTTGCTAGCTTCTCAATAATTTGAAATATATGTGGACAATACATGAAGAAACACGGGAGTGCTAACCTTTAAAGAGTCCCACGGGGTGACCTTCCTTAAGAGAGACCGCGAGGTAACCCTCCTGGTGTGGTCGCAGCTCCTGCTGCTTGTCATCAATCACCTCAGGGTGACAACGTACAGTTTCATTAGTTAGCAATATTTTTTTTTTTATTTTATCAGTTCATTCGTATCTAGTAAATTGCTCCCCTAATTGTAGTGATTAATCAATCAGATTGATTTACTTTGTTATAGAGTATATTTTACGGGTAAAGCCTTTGCTTCAGCCTACTTACAAATTTAGATTACCACCCATGGCTGTCTCCATCACATCTCTTTACATGTACAACAAACACTATATAATTAAATCCACAAGTAATCAAGTGTTTAAAGTCGAAACTAAAAGAACCGAAGCAGGATCAAACATGAACAAGTGTCTTTAAACGCTAAACCCCTAAGTGTCATACAGTGCCTGGGGAATGACATGTAATCTGATCTGAGTCCTATAAAAAATGGAGTCGCTCCAAGTCATCGGATCAAGAACTTTTCATTACCATCAAGGCCCCTTGAAGGATTCCACAGATGATTCACAATAATTGGCACGCGCTGCTTCCTTATCCAGCGTCACACACATTCTTCAGTTCCATTATGCCACACCTCTTCGTAAATTCAATAATAATAATAATAATAATAATAATAATAACAACAGCAATATTTTCATTATTGTTAAGTAGTAGTTGTATATCGTACTTTTATTGTATAGCCAGGTGCAGCTTTTCCCATGGATCCTGGTCGAAGTTGCATTCCTTTTGATATACAAGTCAAAAGTGTTGTTTCAGTCTGCCCATATCCCTCATATATTGGAAGACCTTGAAAGACGAGAAATTATAAATATATAGATACATGTATATAAATATTTCTACTGGTAAGTTCTCAAGTTTTCCTACTTGTATGAACATACACCTGCAAGTGTACCACACCGGCAGTCTCCCACCAAGGTAGGGTGGTCCGCAAAAAAAAAAAAAAATTACCATCATTCATGCCATAGCAGCTTTGCCAAGTGTAAAAAAATAATCAGTTTAAATGACCCTCCGAACTGCAATATTCCCACTCCTGCAGAGTGCTGGCACTATACTTACCACCTCCAGGACTGAGTCCGAGTAAGAGATTCTCTAGAGTCATTTTATTATGAAGCAGCAAGATATACCTATTGTTCTCCTCAGTTTACAAATCTGAATTATGAGAATCTTACTGATCAAATGCTTTAAGGTAGTTTATATATAATACAGCCCAAGTTTCTAAACCAGGTTTGTACATGTATACCCCTCAAGGTCCTCCCGTAAAGGGGGTCATACAACACCTGGAAGGTGTTGTATGGAAGAAAAGGGTAGACCGCTTTCAATGGATGCCAAGTCTTTCACCTGGCTTGAAGGGGTGGCTTGACGTAACATTTACACACCTGTATATTGTGTCCACAGCTGCATAGCTTGAGGGTTGAGTGGTTCACCGGCACTCACACAGTGTCTCAAGGCAGGAAAAGTGTGTTGAGACAAGTCATACTGCAGCAGTGCCCTGTACACTGTGGGTGGTGCACACAGTACTGTCACTGGGTGCTCACTCAGGGTCCTCAATACTTCTGCACCATCAAATCGAGGCATCTGCAATTATTTTAACTATATTATATCTGTGAGGAAGTGCTACATTGGTGTTATACGACGTTTGGAGAACGGGTTGCAATTTGTTTTAACCACTTGATCAAGAATGACTGCCAATAAAAGAATATAATGCACACTTCTCAGTACCTGATGAACAAATGCCGTGGCTCCGGTCATAAGAGGGACGTAGAGGCTGCTCCATGCAGTTTTAGCCCAGCCTGTGTCGGAAATATTCCACAACATGTCCTCTTCTGTGAGGTCAAGCCAATATCTATAAAAGATTATTATTTGTTTTAAACCTTTACGTGCCCGGTATATATGTTGCAGAACCCAGTATACGTTATATAGCTTAGTATGCATGTCTAGCCCGGTATGCATGCTGTATAGCCCGGTATACCTGTATAACCCGACCTGCTAGTATAGTACACTACATGCTTACCTTGTGAGCGATAGTGGAAAAAGAAGGGATAACATACATCATAACGGGTCTTTGTCAGACTCCATTGCGTATAGTTACATTATTAGGATATTACGGCCATTTCATATATTACAGTCTAATTATATAGCTACTCATCGAGCCAATGTAATACATACTATCAATCGTCTACAATTTTCTCCTCACTATTTAACCTTGATACAGGATCAATATTCTTGTTATTGTTCAAATACTTTGAGAATCTCAATCTCTAGCTATAAATAAGGAAAGATTATTATGGGATTATAACCTAGTAAAGTCAGTCTTATTTCCGTTGGGGTCCTTTAATCTTTTCCCCAGAATGCGACCCACAACAGTCGACTTACACAATTGTAAGGAAACATACTCAACGTTTCATTTGTCTGGTCCCTCAGTGTGTGAGCTGAGGATGCTATGCACTATTGTTATACAGTATTTCCCTATTATCTAGTGTCTGGTGCACAAAGGCAGCAGGTGTCGGGAGACCAGAATAGACATGATTTTTTTTACCAGAGCTGTTACCTGGCAGTTACGATGTGACCAATACCATAATTGGCCTGAGTGTGAGGCACCATCTTTGGCTTGCCTGTAGTGCCAGACGTGAAGAAGAGCTGAGCTATTGTATCCCCTTTAGTCAACACACAAGGTTTCACTGCTTTCCCATTACTAAGCTTCAGTACATCTTGGTATGATATCCAACCTTCTCTGCAACGACAAACAATGTTTAAAGATTCAACAACCGACTCAACAAGAAATGCTAACGCCATATGCTTTTTTTAAGTTTAATAGATTAAAAAAGAGTTGTCATATTAGGTGTGGAAAATTACATTTATCTGAATGTAACTCATTATGTACATAACAGTAAATGATAACAAAGATAATTATTATTTATCAGAGTTACATAGACAAGTAGGAATTTGGGACACCTAGGTAGCAAAAATGTCCCCCTTCGATACCTACCACTGTCATATCCACAAGTTGCTCTGGACCTATTATCAAATGAAAAATACATCACCAGGAATACTGGTAAATATATAAATTTGTGGACTGTATATTAAAAATAATAAATGGTTATATATATACACAATTACATAACAGAAGGAAAATATATCTTAATATCACTCACCAATTTGACTGGAGATTAAGTTGTATCATACTCAGAAAAACCTCACTAACTAAAATTATGAAAACACTGGCCAGAATTATACACAAATCTAGAGAGCTTATCTGAGGTTCCTGGAGCTGTCTTGTCCAGTCGTCTGATATCTCAAGTTATGCAGGAATGCATATCCACCAATTTCGCCTCCTATTTGAGAGGTGTCAACACAATTTTAACCTCTAGAGCACGAAAAATTCTTCCCATTACACCAACGTTTGTATAAAATTCAAAAACCAAGATGGCCAGTCTCGTCTGCACAGACGCAGGCTTTCCGTTTTCTATGACATAAATATTATTAAATACAGTATGGCCATCTATTTACATATAAATACTGAATTTCTGGAAAATATATACAGTATTTTCCACATTAGGATTCGTAGTATCAAGGGATGAATTACGTTCTATTATGTTCTTTTGCGGATTTTTCAGCAAAATTTAGGCTCTCTCTGAGCCCTGCGGGTGTACAACTTCAGTATAATATTAGTATTATTATATTCATGGAGAAACGTAGGGGTCATATAGCGCCTAGGTCATGAGAGGCAATAGGTTAGATTTAAAAAGGGTATGTTAGCTCCAATTTTATGAATCAAGAGCCCTTCATCAACATTAAGACACTAAGTTAACAATGAGTTTTGCACCAAACCTAGCACGGAATCCTAACCTTGCTAAGATTTACGTAAAAATAAACTAGTGTAATTTAGCTAACTTATCAGAGGATTTGCATAACATTAATTAAATGTTCTCATCACTGAAGGTGGCAAATCTTTGATTCACTTCTCTGAAGGTAGCTAATCGTCAAGTTACTCTCAAGACTGAACATTAAAATGGTATAAAATACCGACAGGTTGTTAGGTAAGACACATATGCAACAGTTAGGTATCTTTATTATGAAACGTTTCGTCTACACAGTAGGCTTTTTCAGTCGAGTACAGAAAAGTTGATAGAAGCAGAAGATACTTGAAGACGATGTAATCAGTCCATCACCCTTAAAGTTTTGAGGTGGTCAGTCCCTCAGTCTGGAGAAGAGCATTGTTCCATAGTATGAAACAATATGGAGATGAAGTGACAGGATGGAGCCTTATATACTGCCAAGACAACTTCCACTAGTGAGAGCGGCTGGATTTGAGAGGGACCTGACCTCTCAACATCTGAGTTCTTACCTCTTCTAGTGACCTACGTCTCACCTCTTGGCAGTATATAAGGCTCCATCCTGTCACTTCATCTCCATATTGTTTCATACTATGGAACAATGCTCTTCTCCAGACTGAGGGACTGACCACCTCAAAACTTTAAGGGTGATGGACTGATTACATCGTCTTCAAGTATCTTCTGCTTCTATCAACTTTTCTGTACTCGACTGAAGAAGCCTACTGTGTAGGCGAAACGTTTCATAATAAAGATACCTAACTGTTGCATATGTGTCTTACCTAACAACCTGTCGGTATTTTATACCATTTTAATGTTCAATCTGTCAGACACTGCAACACAAGGGTATCTTGGTACAGACCTGCAATCAACTTCGACAACTTCCACTAGTGAGAGCGGCTGGATTTGAGAGGGACCTGACCTCTCAACATCTGAGTTCTTACCTCTTCTAGTGACCTACGTCTCACCTCTTGGCAGTATATAAGGCTCCATCCTGTCACTTCATCTCCATATTGTTTCATACTATGGAACAATGCTCTTCTCCAGACTGAGGGACTGACCACCTCAAAACTTTAAGGGTGATGGACTGATTACATCGTCTTCAAGTATCTTCTGCTTCTATCAACTTTTCTGTACTCGACTGAAGAAGCCTACTGTGTAGGCGAAACGTTTCATAATAAAGATACCTAACTGTTGCATATGTGTCTTACCTAACACTCTCAAGACTGCTGCTGTGTATCACATGATCTTAGTGATACTCACCCAACATGTTGGTTGTTGTCTGTAACGACTATTCTGCGAGGTAGAGACTGGGTGAGAGTATGAAGGGCAGCAGCCATGGCGGCATCACACACCAAACAGTCTGCCTTACTCTCGACAAGGCGGTGTCTTATATCCCCTGGCGTTAATAATGTCGTTCCGGCTGAGAAAATCGTTCCTAAAAAAAAAAGAAAAAAAAAAAAAAAAAAAAAAAAAAAAGAAGGTAGTAATTTTAACCATTTTTTTTAAGGGGTGGACCGATAAGCCAGCGGAAAGCCTCGGTCAGATAACCCAAAGCTCCAGCTGTGGGTGATCATACAACTAAGACCCGTGTCAGGAAACTCTTGTACTATTTCCTGACAACCCTAACCTAACCTAATCGTTCCTGAAAATTACTCATCTTATTACATTGGTCTGCATGATTTTTTTTATTGACTATGGTATCTTTTTCGGTATATATACGGAAAATAGTGATTCACTGTATTTTTTATCTCTGTCACATCAAGCTGTTAAGGTATACGGAAACGTTACTTTTCTCTTTTCGTATAACATAAATGGAGATAATGGTATATTACTTATTTAAGTCAATATAAGGTAAGCATTTAATGTTAAATCTAATATATTTTTCTTTATTTTCATATTACTAATATGTCTAGAGGCTGCATAAATTCACCAGATATTATTTTGCTGTCTGCAGGCAATTCACCCCTTCAGATTCCCGGAGCAACATTACTCCTTTATTGAAGCGCTGCTACTTTGCTTGTTTTGGCTGCAAACTTGGAGACCAGGACAAACCATTTGCACCACACAAAGCTTGCAAGAGTTGCATCAGTAAGCTCCAAATGTGGTCAGTTGGAAAACTTTAATGTATGCCCTTTGGATTACCAATGGTATGGCAGGAGCAGATGAACCACCATGATAACTGCTACTTTTGTATGACTAAAGTAGCTAGATTCAACAAGAAGACTGAAGATCGCATAATATACCCAAATATTCCTTCAGCAATAAGACCTGTTCCCCACACTGAAGATATTCCTGTACCTGTGCCACCTGAGACATGGCAAATTTCAACAGTCTGATACCAGCGATTCTAAGGCGATGGAAGTAGACTATGAACCACCAACAAATGACAATCTCAAACCCTTCAGCCAAGTTGAGTTCAATGACTTGGTGAAAGACCTTACCTTCCAAAAGAAAGGGCACAGTTACTTACTCTAGACTGAAGGAACACAGGCTTCTAGCTCCTGGAACAACATTCACTTGGTACCGTCATTGTGAAACGGAATTCACTCAGTTCTTTGACAAAGAGGAATCTTTAGTTTTCTGTTCAAATATTTCTGACTTTATTGAACACATGGGGATATCATACCGAGCAGATGAATGGAGACTCTTCATTGATTCTCCTAAAAGTTTAAAGGCTGTACTTCTCTACAACGGCAACACAGCTGCATCTGTGCCAATTGGCCAGCGTCCAAATGTCAGAAACTTGCGCAGATATGAAGAAATATCTGCAATCAAGTACCAGAATCAAAATTTTCTCATTTGTAGTGATTTAAAAGCTATTGCTCTCCTACGAGGTCTTCAAGGCGGATACACCATGTATCCCTGTTTTCTGTGTCTTTGGGACAGTAGGGCAGACAGCCAGGCACTATGAACAAGAAGGCTGGCCACCAAGAACCAGCTTATTAACCGGAAATCGCAATGTGAAAACTGTGCCACTAGTTGGCCCCAAGAAAATTCTGCTTCCACCACTCCACATCATATTAGGGCTTATGAAAAACTTTATGAAGGCCTTGAACAAGAATGGAACTACTTTCAGGTACCTGGAGTCAAAGTTTCCTCGTATAAGTGAAGGCAAGCTAAAGGCAGGAATCTTTGTTGGCCATCAGATTCGGGAATTGATGAAGGACAAACATTTTGATGAACCATTAGCAGGTGTCGAGGTGTCTGCCTGGTTTTCATTCAGGCAGATTGCCCATAATTTCCTGGGAAACAGACGCTCCTCCGAATATGAAAAAATGATCCAAGACCTGATTTCAAGTTTCCAACAACTTGGGTCTAGAATGAGTGTGAAGATGCACTTTTTGCACTCACATCTTGACTATTTTCCCAACAATTGTGGGGACTACAGTGAGGAACAAGGAGAGCGGCTCCATCAGGATATTTGCACCATGGAAACTCGATACCAATGCAAATGGAATGTCAGCATGATGGTGGATTACTGCTGGTCATTGAAACGTAATGGTCTCGATGCACAGCACAAGTGAAAATCAAAGCGGTCCTCCTTCCTTTGATTCAATATGTAGGCTAACCATTTAGGAGCATATTTTTTTAATAAAATCATTTGATTTGATTCATGTTGATTTGGAATTCATATGTTCTTAAAACTAACAGAATGTGCTTTTCCCTGATTACTTGCCTAATTTTAATAAATTAACAATTTATTAAAAATTCACATTTATCATTAATTTGTATTTTATTCAAAATCCTTACGTGATAGTGCAAAATGGTTTAGATATTTATAATCAGCAGCCCAAGAATATGAAATTCGCAACCATGAATAAAAATTAAAAACATTCCAAATGCAAACCAGTGATTTATTTAAAGATACAGAGGTATACACATACACCGAGAAGTGTGTATTTCTACTCCATGATATACAGTGTATAGGGTATGTATGTAACCATTCTGATTCAATAAAAAAAAGTACTGCTTCTGGTTTGTTTTATAGAGCAAAATGTATTTTAACCCTCCAGAGGTTAGTCAAACATCTTGACAGGTAAACAACAACTGAATTAATGTTGGATAATTGCATATTAACCAAGAGGTGTATCAATCTTAGTGTGTATATACCGAAAATTTAGTCACTATTTTTGGTATTAAAGTAATCTTGACTGGTGGTTAACAGATTACATGCAGCCTTAATGACTCGTGTAGTCGATGGGTTTTTAAGCCCCAATAATCAAGCAAACTTGGATATATTGTTAGCAGCTAAATCCCCTTAGACGGCAAAAACTGAATCCTCAAATAAAACTTGTACATGAATGCATTCGCCTAAGAAACCTTTACTGAAGACGTTTCGGCCCTGGAACCTTCATCACTTCAAATATATGAGTATGATAGACATATATAATGTACCGAATAGGTAAAATTGGTCAGTTAACAAGAACTCATTTAAAATTGAGTCCTTTCTAAAAAATTCTCTTATACTTTTAAAGATATATATATTTTTTTCATATATGCAAATGTAAAAAAACAATAATTTTGTACCAAAAGAACATTAGAAAACTTAACTAACCTCATTATAACAAAGGCAATTTAATTTAGCCTAATTCAACTAAATACATTTTAGATAGGTTTACAATAATTTAATAATAAACAAAAGCAATGAAATAATTTTTTCAGAATTATTTTTACGGAATTATTGCATACACAAATATTCGCATAAGGCAAGCAAAAATTTGTGTATGCAGTAATTTCGCAAAAATAATTCTGAACCTAACGAAAAAAGAATAATTTCACTGTGTTTGCTTATTATTAAATTACTGTAAACTTATTTAAAATATATTTAGTTGGATTAAGCTATATTAAACTGCGCTTGTTATAATAAAGTTAGGTAAGTTTTCTAAGGTACTTTTGGTACAAAATTATTTTTTACATTAACATAAATGATAATATATATTATATAATATATATATATATATATATATATATATATATATATATATATATATATATATATATATATATATATATATATATATATTTATATATTTAACAAGTCGTATTAAGAGAAAAAATTAGAAAGGACTTAATTTTAAATAAGTTCTTGCTAATTGACCAATTTTACCTATTCGTGATTTCACGAAAATGCTTGGAATTTCACTATTTTTTTCACAGTGGTCATTCTGCATAGAGAGAGGGGGAGGGAAGGGGAGAGGAGAGAGAGAGAGAGAGAGAGAGAGAGAGAGAGAGAGAGAGAGAGAGAGAGAGAGGAGAGAGAGAGAGAGAGAGAGAGAGAGAGAGAGAGAGAGAGAGAATGAGAATTTAGTGATTTTGTTTTTGCAAATGCGATTGCAGAGGGTTCTAAAAGTTACTGAACCCATTCCAGGAATCTTAGAATGAGTACTAAAACTGGTCATAGGGTGTCTACATGCGTCAATACTTGCACGAATCTTGCCTTAGTGACCGTACACTAGCGTTGAAAATCTAAAGCCAATCATGTGAGGCCTTCTCGAGTTATGAACGAAAGATAAACGAAAAGTTTAAGGAAAAGAAAAAAATCAGGCAACCACTTAAATGTAGCCAATTCAGGGATATTTAATAATAATAATAATAATAATAATAATAATAATAATAATAATAAGGGTCAAGAGATTCACTTACCACACCAAGACAGGGCAACATTGAGGACCCACCACTCGGGCACTTTGGGCAGGATAACTAAAGCACATCTAGGTGCTACAGGGTCACTGAGGGCCGTGGCTAGTGCCTGTGCCTCCTGGTACAGCTCACTGTAGCTCACCACAGTCTGCTTGCTCCCGTCTGTCAGGTATACAGCTGGGTGGTTTGGCTGAAGAATAACAGAGGTATTAGCTAAATAGAACTTCGGCTTGATTTAGGGAAGAATGAGACACGTGCAACATTTGTGTCTTATTGTTGACAATAAAGATGCCAAAGTATTACATATGTCTCTTATTTATTTATTTTATTAATTTGAACATGATACAGAGAAGTACAAAAGAATACAGTTAAATGCAGCATGCCAAAGCCACTTGAATGCATAGCATTACGGGAAGGCTTAAAATTAACTTAAGATTAACTAAGCAATGATGTATTCAGTGATAAAACATTATTGTAAACAGATAACAATTTAGTACAAATGAGTATTACAAAAACAGGTCGTATGGTTGCTTGCATTGCTGTACAATCAGTATTTATTTATTTATTTATGGGCAGGCTTAAAATTAACTTAAGATTAACTAAGAAATGATATATTCAGTGGTACAAAAATTATTGTAAAACAGATAACAATTTAGCACAAATGAGTATTACAAAGACAGGTCATATGGTCATTTACTGTGTTGCTGTGCAGTCAGTAGAATGGAGTATTCTGTTAGGTAACGTAGTTAAATAGTAACAAAGTTTGATTGGGTCACAGGTTGACATTTATGAGATACAATTTATGAGATACAATTATTCAGTATTTATTTAGTTGTGGGTGAGTAAGTGATTTTTGAGAAGAGACTTGAATTTATAAACAGTGTTTCTTTTATATTCACAGGTTATGAATTCCAGATTTTAGGGCCTTTTATGTGCATTGAGTTTTTGCATAGCGTGAGATGGACACGAGGAACATCAAAGAGTGATCTGTGCCTTGTGTTATGGTCATGTGTTCTGTTGAGGTTGGCAAGGAGATGTTTGAGGGGAGGGTTAATATCAGAGTTAAGTGTTCTATGTATGTAATAGGTGCAGTAATAAGTATGGATGTTTTGTATGGTGAGTAGGTTTAGCGTTTTGAATACTGGTGGAGTGTGCTGTCTGTAGTGGGAATTTATTATCATTCTGACTGCAGCCTTTTGTTGGGTGATTAGTGGTCTGAGATGGTTTATTGTTGTTGAGCCCCATGCACAAATTCCATAGGTGAGATAGGGGTAAATAAGTGAGTGATATAGGGCCAGGAGGGCTGACTGTGGAACATAGTACCGTATCTTCGACAGTATGCCTACGGTCTTGGAATTTTTTTTGGAAATTTGTTATATATGTGTTTGAAATTTGAGTCTATTATCAAGGTGGATTCCTAAGAATTTTCCCTCTGTGAATTTTGTGATAGGTGATCCATTTATCATTATGTTTAGAGACACATCTGTAGCTCTGTTGCCAAACTGAATGTAGTAGGTTTTGTCAATGTTTAGAGTAAGTTTGTTGGTCCTCATCCAGGTTGATATTTACTGTAATTCGGTATTTACAGTATTGGCTAGCATGACTGGGCTCGGGTGAGAGTAGACGTATGTAGTGTCATCTGCAAATAGTGTGGGTTTGAGTAGTTGCGATGCATTTGGTAGGTCATTTATGTATATGAGAAAGAGAAGAGGGCCTAGGACACTTCCCTGTGGGACACCAACTGTAATTGGCTGTGCGGAAGAGTTTGCCCCATTTGTGTTCACATATTGGCTTCTGTTGCTGAGGTATGACTTTAGGTAGTTGAGGGAGTGCCCTCTTATACCATAGTGCGACAATTTCATGTGGAGCAAGTCGTGGTCAACTGTATCGAAAGCTTTACGTAAGTTAATGAAGATCCCCAGTGGGACTTCTTTTTTCTCTATTGCTGTATAAATATGTTCTAGCATGTGGATAATAGCATCATTAGTATTTTTATTAGGCCTGAACCCAAACTGACAGGGGTTGAGTATGTTGTGGGAGATGAGGTAGGAATAGATACGCTTATGGATTAATTTTTCAAAGATTTTAGAGAGAGGGTGTAAGTTGGATATTGGCCTATAGTTATTAAAGTCTGTGTGGTCTCCTCTTTTATGGATCGGGGTGACCCTTGCTATTTTGAGAACTGTAGGAAAGGTAGAGGATTCAATGGATTTGTTAAAGAGTGTTGCAATGATTGGTGATAGCACCTGTGACACTTTTTTGTATATAATGGGTGGTAAGGTATTTAAATCTCCTGTTTTGTTTTTTAGTTTGTTGATAATAAGGGAGACTTCAGTTGGGTTAGTCGGAGCTAGGAACAGTGTGTTCGGGTAGTTGCCAGTGAGGTAGTCATTGGGTGGGGTATCTGAGCTTGGGATTTTATTGGCAAGGTTTTTTCCTATAGTGGAGAAGAAATCATTGAGACTGTTTGCTGTTTCAGTAGGTGGGAATTGGGGTTCATCTGGTTTTGTTAATTCAATTTCGCTATTTCGTGTTAACTTTTTTGTTCCTAGTATTTCTGATAGGGTTTTCCAGGTCTTTTTTATGTCACCTCGTAAGTTGGATAATCTGTTCTCATAATACAATTTTTTAGCCCTTCTTATTAGGCTGGTTAGGATTGACGAGTAACGTTTTGTTTGGTCTCTGGTTATGTGACCCATTCTGTACTGTTTTTCATATAGGTGTTTTGTATTTATGGATTTGAGAATGCTGGGTGTTAGCCAGGGACTGTTCAGTCTCTTAGCTGTCATCTGTTTAGTTTTTTTTAGGGCAGTGCTTGTTATAGAGGTATTGGGTCTTTTTTAGAAAATTATTAATACATTCGTCAATATCTGTATAGATTTCTAGCTCACTGTACCAGTCAATGTTTGTCACTGCTGCTGTGAAGTTGTTGATAGCTGCCTCATTGTGAAGCCTGAAAGTGACTTTAGTAGTCTCTAGGGGTAATTTGCCAAGGTTTGTTATGAGGAAGGTAGGGTAATGGTCTGTGGTATTATCTGTGATTATGCCTGATCTTAAGGGGGATATGGTGTTGGTCCAGATGTGGTCTAGTAGGGAAACACTAGTCTCTGTGACTCTTGTAGGTTTTGTTACTGTTGGTAGCAACATGCAGTTACTCATAGTGTTTGTGAATTCAGTAACATGTGGGTCTTGGTCTTGTAGGAGATTTATATTGAAGTCACATGAGAGTAGTAAGTGATCTTTGTTCATGCGTGTATCAGTTATCATACTTCCTAGGTTTTCACTAAAACGGCTAATGTTTGACTGTGGTACTCTGTAGATGTTTATCACTGTGAGAGGTTTTTGTAGGTATTTGGATTTGAATTTAGCTATTATATATTCCCCATGTTCATCCCTTGTGCAAGTATTAGTGATACATTCTAGTTGGTCTGAGTAGTATATAGCTGTGCCACCCCCTTGTTGATCTGGCCTACAGTTGTGTATGGCTGTGTAACCAGGAATGGCATAGACATCTGTAGTATCAGGCTTTAGCCAGGTTTCGGTGAGAGTAATGATGGACATACTGGCATGCAGGGAATTTAGTAATGCTGTGAGGTCATCGTAATGCTTGCTTAAAGATCTGATATTGTAGTTAAAGACAGTTGTGTTGTTGTTGGCTCTGAGAAGTGCCTTTGATTGTTCTGCTGTGTAGTAATTACAGTTACTGTTTGATTCATTTAAGTCATTAGATAAGAGGTTTGTATCAGGATCAATGCTTGTTATCATAAGATTTATATTGAATCTAAAGTTAGAATTAAGTATAAGACAAAGTAAATATTCTAAATCTATAAAATATCACCTGAATTATTTTAACAAATGTAAAAAAAATATGAGCTAAAGTAGCTCTTTAAAGCTAAAATAAATGAGGCAATATAAAAGGGACTAAAATAATTTGTGGTGAACAAAAAAGTGGTAATCAAATAAATGAATATAATGGGAAAATAATGAGCTTATTACACTTTAGCACCTGAGAATAGCACCTTGATTATTTTAACAATTGTGAATATATGAACTAAGGTTGTTATATAAAGCTAAAATAAAAGAGAAAAAATATAAGGGACTAAATTAAGTAATGGTAAACAAAGTTAAAATGACAGATAGTCACTATGATATAATATTGATTTGGGAGTAAAATCTGATTTGTTATATATAATAAGTTGAGCAATATATTGCACTATAAAAAGTAAAAAAAACAATAATATGAGGTAGTTGGTACTAGTTAGCAAATGATAGTTTAACGAGAAACTGCTTAAAGAAAACGATAACATTTATTAAGAAAAACGAGGCATTGAGAAAAATGTGCCATTGGTTAAGGAAAACTAAGTAAGTTTATTCAGGTACATGTACACATAAATACAGTTACATAAATTATTTGTAGATGAATGGTTCAGATAACCGACATGTTGATAAATTAGACACATGTGCAACTCTTGGGTATCTTTATTGAGGAAACGTTTTGCCACACAGTGGCTTCATCAGTCCATACGTATGGACTGATGAAGCCACTGTGTGGCGAAACGTTTCCTCAATAAAGATACCCAAGAGTTGCACATGTGTCTAATTTACCAACATAAATTATTATACATAGCAGAATGTGTAGATTACCTAGGATAACCCCCCCCCCCCCCAACAAAAAGGGTCAGACAAAGTGACTTATTTCCACGTTTAACGGTTAAGGAAAATAGGTGTATTAGTTAAGGAAAACGGGGCATTGGTTAAGAAAAACAAAGATATTGGTTAAGGATAGCTATTGTATTCGACAAGGAAAACGAAGATATTAATTAAAAACTACGACATTAAATAAGGAAAACGGGGTCAAGGAGTAGCGCCTGTGGAAGAGGAAGTGATCATTTTCAATCTTTGGAAGGCGAAGATAACTCAGATTCCGTAAACGATAACTTCACAACATCACGGCACCCGTCCCCTACCTGCCTTCTTTAATGGGATGAAGAGTGGGCAATATGATAGGTTTGAATCAGTGAAGGATTATTATAGAAAAAGAAGCGCTAAACCAGTGAAGAAGGAAAAAAGGACAAGTTTATAGTATATAGTAAGCGCACTTGGAGGTGCTACCTCCAAGTGCGCTTTTGGCTACTGAAAGTGCCTTGTATATTGTGTTCCTTGTATATGGGTGGCAGGAGGAAGTCAAATTTTTTGCATTCTGGCAATATTATATGTTGGTCTTTCCTGTGTCTCGCGAGTATATGAGATGACAGGTAAATCTTATAAAATTGTACTTACATTTAGTATACACTTATCTTCACTTTCAGTATTTATTATCAGTTGTGGAAAATTACATTTATCTGAATGTATCATTATGTACATAACAGTAAATGAACAAAGATAATTATTATTTATCAGTTAGACAAGTAGGAATTTGGGACACCTAGGTCGCAAAAAATGTCCCCCTTCGATACCTACCACTGTCATATCCACAAGTTGCTCTGGACCTATTAATTACAAATAAAAGATACATCACCAGGAATTCTGGTAAATATATAAATTTGTGGACTGTATATTAAAAATAATAAATGATTATATATATACACATATACATAACAGAAGGAGAATATCTTAATATCACTCACCAATTTGACTGGAGATTAATGTGTATCATACTCAGAAAACCTCACTGTCTATGAAAATAACTGGCCAGGTTACTACATAAGGCTTATCTGAGGTTCCTGGAGCTGTCTTGTCCAGTCGTCTGATATCTCAAGTTATGCAGGAATGCACATCCAACAATTTCGCCTCCTATTTGAGAGGTGTCAGCCCAATTTTAACCTCTAGAGCACGAAAAATTCTTCCCATTACTAACGTCTGTTACTCTCAATTCAAAACAAACAATGGCGAGTGTCCTTCTGCGAAGGCGCAGGTGCAGGCTTCCCATTTTTTATAACAATTTTTATTAAATACAGTATGGCCATCTATTTACATATAACTACTGTATTTCTGGAAAATATATTCAGTATTTTCCACGTCAGTCCTTAGCCCTGTAACATTTCCTTAATATATTAGGAGGCATAGTCTGAGGCCGGGCCGTGGCAATGAAGATCACTGAAACTATTAATAAATACAAGGTGTCCACAAAAACACTCCCTGATTTCAAACAAGTGGCTTGCCAGGTCACGGGACCAGTTTGTGACTTCTTTCTTGGGGGTGAGGGGAGTACGTGAAGAGCACAGTTTACGTACCACCACTACCTGCAACCCTGGAGGATCTGAAAATTTCGATCACTGAAGCAGTTCGCATGATAACACCAGATATGCTGCAGAGCGTCTAGACCGAACTAAACCATCGCATCGATGTTTGCCGAGCAACCAGAGGGGTGCACATTGAGTGCCTTTAATGCTACCCTATACCACATGAAACTGAATGAAATCCTGCATCTGAAGCAACTGTGAAATATTATTACAATAAAGTTACATGTTATACCTGTTTGAAATCAGGGAGTGTTTTTGCGGACACCCTGTATATAGACAGTCGAGAAAGTCACACTAAGATCGCCAGAAATAGACTACAAACAAAATGTGACAACGGCAGGAGAGGAAACAATAACAGAATTAGAGAAAAATAAATGCCAGAGATAAAGAAAGATAAAACAAGAGTTTAAACTTACTTTAACACTAGCCCAGTGACCAACAACATCTTTGGCGAAGTTGAAATGCTCGCGAGGCTTCAGGAGTTTCCTGTACTTGGACGTAGCAGCATCATAGTCAAACTGGTTGCCTGAAGTGCAGTACTTTTGATGCCCTAAAATAAAAATATGTGAATGTTATAATATATAATATAATATGTATATATATATATATATATATATATATATATATATATATATATATATATATATATATATATATAATATATATATAATATATATATATATATATAAAGATAAAGAATCACACACAAAGTGGGAGTTGTCACAGCTGCTCTTTGCCGATGACACTGTGCTCTTGGGAGATTCTGAAGAGAAGTTGCAGAGATTGGTGGATGAATTTGGTAGGGTGTGCAAAAGAAGAAAATTAAAGGTGAATACAGGAAAGAGTAAGGTTATGAGGATAACAAAAAGATTAGGTGATGAAAGATTGAATATCAGATTGGAGGGAGAGAGTATGGAGGAGGTGAACGTATTCAGATATTTGGGAGTGGACGTGTCAGCGGATGGGTCTATGAAAGATGAGGTGAATCATAGAATTGATGAGGGAAAAAGAGTGAGTGGTGCACTTAGGAGTCTGTGGAGACAAAGAACTTTGTCCTTGGAGCAAAGAGGGGAATGTATGAGAGTATAGTTTTACCAACGCTCTTATATGGGTGTGAAGCGTGGGTGATGAATGTTGCAGCGAGGAGAAGGCTGGAGGCAGTGGAGATGTCATGTCTGAGGGCAATGTGTGGTGTGAATATAATGCAGAGAATTCGTAGTTTGGAAGTTAGGAGGAGGTGCGGGATTACCAAAACTGTTGTCCAGAGGGCTGAGGAAGGGTTGTTGAGGTGTTCGGACATGTAGAGAGAATGGAGCGAAACAGAATGACTTCAAGAGTGTATCAGTCTGTAGTGGAAGGAAGGCGGGGTAGGGGTCGGCCTAGGAAGGGTTGGAGGGAGGGGGTAAAGGAGGTTTTGTGTGCGAGGGGCTTGGACTTCCAGCAGGCATGCGTGAGCGTGTTTGATAGGAGTGAATGGAGACAAATGGTTTTTAATACTTGACGTGCTGTTGGAGTGTGAGCAAAGTAACATTTATGAAGGGATTCAGGGAAACCGGCAGGCCGGACTTGAGTCCTGGAGATGGGAAGTACAGTGCCTGCACTCTGAAGGAGGGGTGTTAATGTTGCAGTTTAAAAACTGTAGTGTAAAGCACCCTTCTGGCAAGACAGTGATGGAGTGAATGATGGTGAAAGTTTTTCTTTTTCGGGCCACCCTGCCTTGGTGGGAATCGGCCGGTGTGATAATAAAAAAAAATAAAAAAAAAAAAATATATTGTATGGCAAAATATATATTATTTTAAATAATTGTTTGAGAAAATTAACTTACTGAGCAGAAGACACGTGGTATTATCGAGTCGACTGACAGCAGCAGCGGCAGTGTTAGTAGAGGCCCCGAGAAGGTGTTGTAGTAGATACCACCGCATGGTGTATACTGGAGACGAGAGACTTCAGGAACAGCTTGAGAGGCTGTAGGAACGGGTTGACAGGCTGCGGGAACACGTTGAAAGGCTTTAGAAACTGGTTGAGAGGGTTTAGGAATGGGGTGAGAGGCTATAAGAACGGGATGAAAGGTTCAGGAACGGGTTGAGAGGCTGTAGGAATGAGTCGAGAGGCTGTAGGAATGAGTCGAGAGGCTGCAGGAACGGGTTAAGAATCTGTAGGAACGGGTTGAAAGGCTGTAGGAACGAACCGAGAAGCTTTCTTCCTCCTCACTACCAAGATGTCTCTTTTTGAATGGAAAAAATTATTTAAGAGTAAATTGTACACAAACTGTAGGTTAATGTGGAAAAAATATGACTCACTTTGACAGTGAACCCCTCAAGGAAGGTTCCTTGATGTTGGTGAGGGGCTCTTGATTTAGGGAATTGAATCTGTGCTCCAGTTCCCCGAATTAAGCCTGAATGCCTTCCACATCCCCCCCCCCCCAGGCGCTGTATAATCCTCCGGGTTTAGCGCTTCCCCCTTGATTATAATAATAATAATTTGACAGTGAAATATGGATAAGTGGTTACCTTTTTAGATGCGACAGAATGAACAGGCAACAAAGGGGGGGGGGGGTTGGCTGTATGTCAAAGAGTCCCTCATCTGCACGGAGTTGCTGAACACCACAAATGAGGTAGTTGAAGTTCTATCAATAAAGATCGAGAACCAAAACCTAGTCATTGTGGTTGTATATAAGCCACCAGATGCAATCTCAACAGTTCAAGGAACAGCTACTGAAAATTGATTACTGTCTGGAAAACCTTCCAGCTCCATCCCCAAACATCTTACTGCTTGGTGATTTCAGCCTAAGGCATACAAAATAGAAGAATGTAGCAAATAATGTTATAGCTGAAACAATCCCCGGAGGTAGTGCAGATGAAAGGTCACACACACATGAGCTACTAAGTCTCTGCAAAAATCACACCTTAAACCAGCAGATAGTGGAGCCAACAAGACTAGAAAACACACTTGACCTTATCTTCACAAATAATGAGGACCTGATAAGAGGCATAAGAATATCAAAAACAACTAATTCCGATCACAACCTAATCGAAGTCCAGACGTACATGCATAGGGGTCCTGATCAGCAGAATGCATGTACCTGTGAAGGTGTCTTCACAAAATACAACTTCAGCAACAAGAACATCAACTGGGACCAGGTAATCCATGTCCTAAACGAAACATGTTGGGAAGGTATCTTAAATGACATGGATCCAAACCAGTGCCTTGAAAGGATCAACTTCCTGGCAGCTGAAGCATGTTCTAGGCATATTCCCCTAAGAAAGAAAAAGAGCAGGAGTAAACCGGAGAGAGAAAGACGCTCCATCTACAGAAGACGACGAAGAGTCACTGAGCTCCTCAGGAGTGCTAGAATATCTGATACACGAAAGGAGGCGCTGACCAGAGAAGTGGAAACTATCGAACTTAAGTTAAATGACTCTTACAGGAACCAGGAGAGACAGGAGGAGCTTAAAGCTATTAGTGAAATTGAAAGAAATTCAAAATATTTCTTTTCATATGCCAAAAACAAGGCAAATACCACATCTAGTATCGGGCCCTTACTCAGACAGGATGGGACTTACACAGATGACAACAAGGAAATGAGTGAAATATTGAAATCCCAGTACGACTCTGTGTTTAGTGAACCACTAATCGGTCTGTGGATCGACGACCCAAATGATTTCTTCATGAATGAGCCTCAAAACTCCATAAATGTATGCCAGATTTCCGACATTACCCTAACTCCGATAGATTTCGAAAAAGCCATTGACAACATGCAAATACACTCAGCCCCAGGCCCAGACTCGTGGAACTCTGTTTTCATTAAGAACTGCAAGAAACCCCTCTCGCGTGCCCTAAGTACACTATGGAGGAGGAGCTTGGACATGGGTGAAATTCCACGGTCACATAGCCCCACTCCATAAAGGTGGCAGCAAAGCATTAGCTAAGAACTACAGACCAATAGCTCTGACGTCCCACATCATAAAAATCTTTGAAAAAGTGCTAAGAAGCAGGATTGCAAATCACCTGTATTCCCAAAATCTGCACAATCCAGGGCAACATGGGTTCAGGGCAGGTCGCTCCTGCCTCTCACAACTACTGGATCACTATGATATGGCCTTGGATGCACTGGAAGAAAATCAGAATGCAGATGTAATATACACAGACTTTGCAAAAGCATTTGACAGATGCGATCATGGTGTAATAGCCCATAAAATTCGTACTAAAAGAATAACTGGGAAAGTGGGGAGATGGATCTTCAACTTCCTAACAAATCGAACACAAAGAGTAGTGGTCAACAGAGTTAAATCGGAGGCTGCCATAGTGAAGAGCTCTGTTCCACAAGGCACAGTACTCGCCCCCATCTTATTCCTTATCCTCATATCAGACATAGACAGAGATATACATCACAGCACCGTATCATCCTTTGCGGATGATACTAGGATCTGCATGAGGCTGTCATCTGCTGAGGACGCGGTTAACCTCCAAGAAGATATAAACAAAGTTTTCCAGTGGGCAACGGTAAACAATATGATGTTCAATGAGGACAAATTCCAACTACTCCGTTATGGAAAACTGGAGGAGATAATAACTAGAACAGAGTATACTACTGACTCCGGCCATACAATAGAGCGGAAAAATAGTGTAAGGGATCTGGGAGTAGTAATGTCTGAGGATCTCACTTTCAAGGATTACAACAGTGCCACGATTGCACGTGCAAAGAAAATGATAGGATGGATAATGAGAACGTTCAAAACGAGAGATGCCAAGCCAGTGATGATCCTTTTCAAATCAATTGTTCTCTCTAGGCTGGAATACTGCTGTACATTAACATCTCCATTCAAAGCAGGTGAAATCGCAGATCTTGAGAGTGTACAGAGATCCTTTACTGCACGTATAAGTTCTGTCAAGCACCTTAACTACTGGGAATGCTTGGAAGCACTTGACTTGTACTCGTTGGAACGCAGGAGGGAGAGATATATCATAATCTACACTTTGAAAATCTTGGAAGGAATGGTCCCAAATCTGCACACAGAAATCACTCCCTACGAAAGTAAAAGACTGGGCAGGCGATACAAAATGCCCCCAATAAAAAGTAGGGGCGCCATTGGTACACTAAGGGAAAACACCATAAGTGTCCTGGGCCCCAAGACTGTTCAACAGCCTCCCATCAAGCATTAGGGGAATTACCAATAAGCCCCTGGCTGCCTTCAAGAGAGAACTGGACAGATACCTAAAGTCAGTGCCGGATCAGCCGGGCTGTGGCTCGTACGTTGGACTGCGTGCGGGTAGCAGTAACAGCCTAGTTGATCAGGCCCTGATCCATCGGGAGGCCTGGTCATGGACCGGGCCGCGGGGGCGTTGATACCCGGAATAACCTCCAGGTAACCTCATTAAAAAAAATGTAAATATTTTCGACTGATGATGGTCTTCAGCAAGATCGAAATATTTAATGTGGGTAATGCGAATATATTATTTACAGATTATTTTTTTAATGTACAATTGCTCTATCTTTGTGCGGTTCTATGTCACTGTTTATATCCTTATTTGTCGTCCGTGTTTTGTATTTTCTTGCGTGTGCTTTCGCTGTATTGTGGTTTTTGCTTTTTGTCTGTATTGTGGTTGTGGTTTTGTTTTTATTTGTATTTTTCCAATTCATTTTGCTCACGTGGGTGTTTTTTTTTTTTACAGCAGGATGTCAACCACTGCATGTTACTACAAGTGCTCTTCAAACACTGACAGATCTCTCCTGAAATCTGGACATAGGGATATAAGCCACAGCACCGTGTCTTCCTTTGCAGATGACACCCGAATTTGCATGACAGTGTCCTCCATTGAAGAGACTGCAAGACTCCAGGCGGACATCAACCAAATCTTTAAATGGGCTCCAAAAAAAAAAAAAATATGAAGTTCAGTGATGAGAAATTTCAATTACTCCGATATGGAAAACGTGAGGAAATTAAAACTTCATCGGAATATAAAACAAACTCCAGCCACACAATAGAACGAACAACTAATGTCAAAGACCTGGGAGTGATCATGTCAGAGGGTCTCACCTTCAAGGACCATAACATTGTATCAGTCGCACCTGCCAGAAAAATGATAAGATGAATAATGAGAACCTTCAAAACCAGGGATGCCAAGCCCATGATGACATACTTCAGGTCGCTTGTTCTATCTAGGCTGGAATATTTCTGCACACTAACGCACCTTTCAAGGCAAGTGAAATTGCTGACCTAGAAAATGTACAGAGAACCTTCACGGCATGCATAACAGAGAAAAAACACCTCAGCTACTGAGAACGCTTGAAGTTCCTAAACCTGTACTCCCTAGAATGCAGGCGGGAGAGATACATGATTATATACACGTGGAAAATCGTAGAGGAATTTGTACCAAACTTGCACACGAAAATCACTCCCTAAGAAAGCAAGACTCGGCAGACGATGCAACATCCCCCCAATGAAAAGCAGGGGTGTCACTAGCACGATAAGAGACAACACAATAAGTGTCAGGGGCCCGAGACTGTTCAACTAGGTTGGGTGCATTGGCTTAAGCCGGTAGGGACTTGGACCTGCCTCGCATGGGCCAGTAGGCCTTCTGCAGTGTTCCTTCGTTCTTATGTTCTTATGTTCTTATGTTCTTAACTGCCTCCCAGCATACATAAGGGGGATTACCAACAGACCCCTGGCTGTCTTCAAGCAGGCACTGGACAAGCACCTAAAGTCAGTATCTGACTAGCCGGGCTGTGGGTCGTACGTTGGACTGCGTGGGGCAAGCAGTAACAGCCTGGTTAATCAGGCCCTGGTCCACCATAAGGTCTGGTCACAGACTGGGCCGCGGGGGCGTTGACCCCCGGAACTCTTCATGTATACTCATTAGCTCCAGGGCTAGTACTATCCTTAAGAGCCCCTCACCAGCATCAAGATACATGACTAATAATTCCCGCCACAATTATCAAAGAATGATCATTGTTTTCGCAGACACAGTTAAAAGGATGTCAGCACAATATTTCATAAATCTGTTCCATACTATAATAATATATTATCTTTATTTACTACAAGTACATGTACAAGGTATACAGGCAGTAACTGACATACTACTACTATATTGAAAGCCGCTTGTTATGCTGAGCATTTCGGGCAAATTAGATCAGTTTTGTCCCAGGATGCGACCCATACCAGTCGACTGACTAACACCCAGGTACCCATTTTACTGGTGGGTAAACATGGACGGCAGGTGTCTTAGGAAACACGACCCTAATGTTTTCCAGCCGTACCGGAGGAGATTCGAACCCCGGACCTCAGTGTGTGTGAGTTGAGTGCGCTAGCGATCGAGCAACGGGACTGTGGAATGCATGCTGACGTTCTTTTGTGAACGCCAGTCAAAAATCCATCACCACATAGAATGCCTTGTTATAGTTTCAGGGTGAAGTTTCATATTATAAACTGCAGCAGTCATCATGAAGAATGATCCATCCCTCAGAGGCTGCTTTGTTTACTCAGTGCTGTCCCTGACACACCAACACAGCCTCATTTTACTGTTGCACTATGTTAACATCTTTAGCCCTTGCTCTAACTTGAAAAAAAATTGTAAATTTGTTGCTACTGTACTTACTATTTTGCTAATAGCAGAATATTAGGGTTCATTATTATTATAATCAAGGGGAAGCGCTAAACCCGGAGGATATTAGGGTTCAGTCCCTAAGCCCATCGAGTCTCGAGAATCTTTTGACTGGGGTTCATGATTAAACAATCAAGTTAAATATATTAGAATTTGCACGTGTGAACGAACGAAGTTTGTAAATAAAAATATGATGTACTAACCTGTGGTAGAGCTGCTGCCTGACGACTGCTGTGTGAGTCTGCCAGTGTACCCTGTCCTGCCTCGCTCACCCTCAACCTACACTTCTCTCATACTTCCCAACTAGTGATTTGTTTACTCGCAGATTATCTTTCTACTGGCACCCGACTGTTATTTGTGTCTATTTTCAAGAAAAAGTAATTCTTAGTGCTTCACGTTGCATTTTCTACAAGTTTTCTTTTAGTGATTTTCTGTTTATCAAGAAGTGCTGGTGCATGATACTGTCAATGATCTTTTATAAGTTAGAGGCATCATCATTCCATAAATTCAGACATTAGCATCATAATTCAATACTTCTGAGAGCTATGAGTCTGTCTTCACACTGATGACTTAATTTTCTTGTGAGTCTCATCTTCGATGAAAATTTGAAAGGAAAGGTTGGAGGGAGGGGGTAAAGGAGGTTTTGTGTGCTAGGGGCTTGGACTTCCAGCAGGCATGCGTGAGCGTGTTTGATAGGAGTGGAGACAAATAGTTTTTAATACTTGACGTGCTGTTGGAGTGTGAGCAAAGTAACATTTATGAAGGGGTTCAGAGAAACCGGCAGGCCGGACTTGAGTCCTGGAGATGGGAAGTACAGTGCCTGCACTCTGAAGGAGGGGTGTTAATGTTGCAGTTTAAAAACTGTAGTGTAAAGCACCCTTCTGGCAAGACAGTGATGGAGTGAATGATGGTGAAAGTTTTTTTTCTTTTTCGGGCCACCCTGCCTTGGTGGGAATCGGCCAGTGTGATAATAAAAATAATAAAAATAAATGTGCAAGAATTTGGACTACAGAACTCGAATGATACAAGTCTGAGTTTACAATAAAACCAGTACAGTATATGAATAATCTGAAAAAACTACTTATTATAGAATATTTTGGTCAAGGAAGTTGATTAGGACAACTGAGACCCACAATAAGGGCCAAGAACTTGTAGAACAAGTCATGGAGGCAGCAGTGGAAATCTTTATGAGCCAACATGTGAAGGTAACTACAGAAAATGAGAGGTAGAGATAAGCCCGTAAAACTAGATTTAATATTCACTTTAATCGGATCAGATGAAGGCAAAATTAACTAAGGAATATGACATGTAAGAAGAGTCAAGAAATCAATGTGTACATTGAAGCTTGAAAGGTGGGCCAAGGAACCTACAAACACAAATCATTGAGTACACCCGTCCACACATACATCGTAAAACTTTGAATACCCATCTTGATACCCCTCTGGGTTTTATCTTATGTACACAAGGAAGTGATATTTTGTGGAGAATGAAACCTAGCTGAGGCAGGCCAACAGATTCGTAACCATTGACAATATTCCGATTAATACCCTTGTTAGGATATACTTCCGATGCTTCCTGGCGAATAAACCACCGCCACACTGGCTTATCTGCAGTGGATTGACAACGTCCTTGGTAAATTCAAATTCTTTATTTCCACATGATACATATTTTGTACGAAAAATAGATGATCTTTAATATTACACATGGAAAACCCGTGGTTATTTGGAGCATTTCGATCAATCTTATACCTGAGACGAAATGGACATTAACATTAGGAGATATTCGGTAAAATAACTGATTCTAGATTTAATGGGTATTCCGAGTAATAAGGCCCAGTACAGTAAACTGTAGCATTAGTGTTCTTACGGAGAAACTGGTTAGTTAGTTAGTTTAATATGTTTATTATGCACCCCATACCCATCATGTGGGCGGTAGTCAAGAGATTACAGAGGTACATAATGGGTCCAGGGACTGGGCCCCAAAGTTTTGATAGCTGAACAAAGGTAATGAAGTCACAAGTTACAAAGGTAATGAATCATGTCAGTAAATAAATTTACTTACTTACGTTTATACATGGTTACAATAATGAACAAATTATAAAGTAATGAGCAATTCACACGTCCACACCCGGTCACAACTGTAATGAGTTATTGGTGCAAATATTAATTGTTGGGTCACACATACACACACACACACACACACACACACACACACACACACACACACACACACACACACACACACACACACACACACACACACACACACGTGGTAATGCTTTATTTGCAGCTAGCAAAGTCAGGGTATTTTTCCAGAATGGTCTGTAATATACCACTGGATAAAATATTTTGACATATCTTGAACAATTCTGAGAGAGTTGTCTCTGAATTCATTCATTTTATCGCACTCCAGTACATGCACTGGAAGAAAATCAGAATGCAGATGTAATATACACAGACTTTGCAAAAGCATTTGACAAATGCGATCATGGTGTAATAGCCCATAAAATACGTGCTAAAGGAATAACTGGGAAAGTGGGGAGATGGATCTTCAACTTCCTAACAAATCGAACACAAAGAGTAGTGGTCAACAGAGTTAAATCGGAGGCTGCCATAGTGAAGAGCTCTGTTCCACAAGGCACAGTACTCGCCCCCATCTTATTCCTTATCCTCATATCAGACATAGACAGAGATATACATCACAGCACCGTATCATCCTTTGCGGATGATACTAGGATCTGCATGAGGCTGTCATCTGCTGAGGACGCGGTTAACCTCCAAGAAGATATAAACAAAGTTTTCCAGTGGGCAACGGTAAACAATATGATGTTCAATAAGGACAAATTCCAACTACTCCGTTATGGAAAACTGGAGGAGATAATAACTAGAACAGAGTATACTACTGACTCCGGCCATACAATAGAGCGGAAAAATAATGTAAGGGACCTGGGAGTAGTAATGTCTGAGGATCTCACTTTCAAGGATCACAACAGTGCCACGATCGCACGTGCAAAGAAAATGATAGGATGGATAATGAGAACGTTCAAAACGAGAGATGCCAAGCCATTGATGATCCTTTTCAAATCACTTGTTCTCTCTAGGCTGGAATACTGCTGTACATTAACATCTCCATTCAAAGCAGGTGAAATCGCAGATCTAGAGAGTGTACAGAGATCCTTTACTGCACGTATAAGTTCTGTCAAGCACCTTAACTACTGGGAACGCTTGGAAGCACTTGACTTGTACTCGTTGGAACGCAGGAGGGAGAGATATATCATAATCTACACTTTGAAAATCTTGGAAGGAATGGTCCCAAATCTGCACACAGAAATCACTCCCTACGAAAGTAAAAGACTGGGCAGGCGATGCAAAATGCCCCCAATAAAAAGTAGGGGCGCCATTGGTACACTAAGGGAAAACACCATAAGTGTCCGGGGCCCAAGACTGTTCAACAGCCTCCCATCAAGCATTGGGGGAATTGCCAATAAACCCCTGGGTGCCTTCAAGAGAGAGCTGGACAGATACCTAAAGTCAGTGCCGGATCAGCCGGGCTGTGGCTCGTACGTTGGACTGCGTGCGGGTAGCAGTAACAGCCTAGTTGATCAGGCCCTGATCCATCTGGAGGCCTGGTCATGGACCGGGCCGTGGGGGCGTTGATCCCCGGAATAACCTCCAGGTAACCTCCAGGTACATAATGACGCAGGGTGTGACGCACTCCAGTACATGACGCAGGGTGTGACGCACTCCAGTACATAATGACGCAGGGTATGACGCACACCAGTATATAATGACGCAGGGTGTGACGCACTCCAGTACATGACGCAGGGTGTGACGCACTCCAGTACATAATGACGCAGGGTATGACGCACTCCAGTACATAATGACGCAGGGTGTGACAACAGTCCATCTGGCAAAGTTTACATTTCGTTTGGTCTACATCTGGTGGTGGTGATTTAACCTGCCGAAGATACTTGTAACAGCTGGAGCCGGGCGGTAGTGACATCCAAGAGTCTGCTTGTCTTGTTGGATGTACCATAGACATGTGGCTCCTGCTGCATGATAGACATGTGGCTCCTGCTGCATGATAGACATGTGGCTCCTGCTGCATGATGGACATGTGGCTCCTGCTGCATGATAGACATGTGGCTCCTGCTGCATGATAGACATGTGGCTCCTGCATGATAGAATGATGATAGATGGACTGACTGGTGTCAGTCTCCCTCAGTCTTAAGTCAATAAAATTCAGTTGAAGTTCTTTCGTATTATTGTTCTCAAACTGCTAACTGACAAGCCAAGATTGTAATCTACTCTCTCTTTGCAAGCACAACTTAACCAATTTATCAGTTCTGTCATGCATCTGAAGACCAATATGAACGGAATCCACATCATGGGCACTCTGACTCCACTGTCCACAATACTACCATACCTGTGTCTGGCGCCTGACACAAGCGAAACTGGAAAACAGTAAACGGTAAGTAAGTTTTCAGGTATACACAAATACAGTTACACAGAATTATCATACATAGCAGCATATGTGTAGAGAACCTAAGATAACCCAAAAAAAAGTTAGACAGTGACTTATTTCCATTGGGGTATTTTAGGTAATTACAAATAGAGATGGGGTAAATTAATTATTTGACTACAGTGTCTAAGCACACAATGCCTGCTTTAGTTTAGTTTTGAACTGAGTAAGATTGTTGCATTTTTTTTTTTTTTTTAGTTTACCTGGTATGGTATTCCACATTTGAATACGAGGTATATCAAAAGAAGAATTTGTTTCTGGTGTGATACCTACATGTTCTGTTATATTTTTCTGGGAATTGTTTGAGTTCATTATCATCATTACAATGCAATGTTCTGAACACCTGGATTAAACGGTAGTAAGAATGAATTGCAGTTATATTTAGTAGCTTTAGATATTTGAATAAAGACAGTGTCTAGCCTATTGCTAGCGTTTATGATTGTTCCGAGGGCTGCCTTTTGTTGAGTTACATAATTCGTTTGACGTGTGTAGTCAGTGACGCCACCGGCACATATTCCAAATATGGGTACAAATATGGCTTACGAAACTTTATAGCGAATTATGAGGAGTAGCCCCTACCGTCTTAGATTATTTTAATGTATCGGATATGGATACTAAATCTTAGCTCCTTGTGAACATAGTTTATATCTAAGCCTTTTATAAGTCATGGGTTATTTTTGCCTTTTTGCTTTACCATTGGTGGGCAGCGTATATCACAGGAATGTTTAGTAATTTTAGGAAAGTTTTTCTTTTTACTCCAGAATTTACATTCTGATTGATATTCAGCTTTCTTTTGCAGTTAGTATGTTTAATGGCATCAATAAATTTGTTAATTGAAACATCATTATGGAATCGAAAGGTAATTTTTGTTTTGAATGGTCTGTGTGGTTTTACTTGATAGACAAGTAGGATAGTGGTCCGTGGTCCTGTTTGTTATTATTACTGTACTTTAGGGTGCTGTTATATTGGTCCAGATGTAATAATAATAATAATAATATCTTCATTTTACTACAAGTGCATGTACATGGTACATGCACTGTCCTAGCTGACATCAATGCCATACTACTATATAGAAAGCCCCTTGTTATGCTCAGCATTTCGGACAAATTAGGTCAGTGTCCCAGGATGCGACCCACACCAGTCGACTAACACCCAGGTACCCATTTTACTGATGGGGAACATAGACAACAGGTGGAAAGAAACACTCCCAATGTTTCTACTCTGGCTGGGAATCGAACCCAGGCCCTCGCCGTGTGATATATGATCGAGGATAGATTCTCGAGTTTTTAGTGATTGATGGTATCAAATTCAAATTGAGATGTTTATTTCTCTGTAAAGATTACAATAGGTGGCTTATGTATTATAAAACAATAATTACAAAAAAGGCCACTAGCATGCCTAGGGATTTTGGGCAGGAGTGAAGACATGTTGTTTAGAAAACTCGACACTTGGTGGTTATTTACTTGTCATAGGATTATTTTAAAGTCACCAGCAATTATCAGGTGATTTTTTTATTAAGTTTATTGCTTATTATCATGTTTCTTAGCTTGTCACTGAAGCCTTGTGTGAATTCTTTAAAATGCAGCTAATACTGCAGTTGCGTCTTAATCACATAAGTATATATACACTCTCAGTGTATATATACGAATACACATCTCTCGATGTATATAACCTAATGTGATTATTATTGTATACATTACTGTTTATAACTGACTCTGAGAAGTTCAAATGTTCCCTCCCACACAATAACGTCCATAATTACAAATAAAAATCTTAAATGATGAAATGAAACTTCCCACAATGCTTCTTTTCAAGCTTTCCCCAATTAGTAACATTGAAATTTAGAGCCTATTGTTGTAAAAATCGACTATAGATGGTAAATATATGAATTTCCAGGCAGTGTGGAGGTTGTGTCCCAGAATGCATCAGCGTGTTGATGTTTTTGAACGTTGCGGCGGCTGCTCTCGCACCACCACTCTTATTTTATTACTGGAAAATCACTATTCTCATTGATATTTTCAACTTTGTGCTGCATATTTTTAACCGAAGATTGCTGTTTCGTGTGTGCGAGGAGATTGAGAAGAGGTGGATGTGCCAGGAGCATTAAAATTGACATATGGTGTGTCCAGAAGAGCAACAATGGAGGAAGAGACTGCCGAACAAGTAGTTTTGAAATGTGTATGTTTTTGATGTTTTCTGATTGTAGTAAGGTGTTAACGCTCATGTATTGTCTTGGGATTCACTAGTGCAGGAAGGATGCATTAGGATGGGCCAGTAGGGTAAGGCCATTCTAGGCCACTAGTCTGCTAAACCAATAGGCCTAGGCCATGCTGGGCCAGTAGGCCATGCCAGGATTCACTAGTACAGGAAGCACTCCAGTAGGCTTAGGCCACTATGCCTAATCTTGTAGACTAGTAGGCCTAGACCGTGGTAGGCCATGCCAGGGCAGTAGGCCTAGGCCATGGTAAGCCAGTAGGTGGTGAATATCTGAAGGCAACTATTAAACTAATAAAAAATAAGTCAGACTTTTTTAGTTATCCTAGGTAATTTACACACGTTAAACTATGTATGATAATTGTACTAATGTGTACCTGCACATAAAACTTAAATGGACTGGCAAAACATCTGGTGGCCTGGTGGTTAACGCTCTCGCTTCACACGGCGAGGGCCTGGGTTCGATTCCCAGCCAGAGTAGAAACATTGGACGTGTTTCTTTCAACCTGCTGTCTATGTTCCCCATCAGTAAAATGGATACCTGGGTGTTAGTCGACTGGTGTGGGTCGCATCCTGGGACACTGACCTAAGGAGGCCTGGTCAAAGACCGGGCCGCGGGGGCGTTGACCCCCGGAACTCTCTCCAGGTAAACTCTCCAGGTAAACAAATATATCCTGGTGTTGCACATGTCTAGGACACCAACTTATTGTTATATATCATTAATGATTTGATCCCACTTACCTAGCCATTCTAACTCATTTGTCTCGGATAGATACAATAAGGTTTATTCACGTTCATTACATTGGGTACAACAAATTATTCATTTATGTTGCAATAAAAATTGCTGAAAGAATACATAGGTGGTAAATTCCAGTAGTATGTTGCATTATCCGGGATCTCGTTGAAAAAAATAACGTTTGACTATTCAGTAAAGTAAAAAAGCTGGTATTTATTTAGTCTTTGGCTACCAAACAAGAAAGGAGGAGCACACTGCAGCAGGCCTACTGGGCCGTACTAGGCAAGTCCAAGTCACACTAACTTGAGCCCATTGCTGCAAGTCCTGTTTTGCTTGGATATTTTTAGCACATTATTTTATCCTCTTTGTTTATGCCTGTCTTCCATTTATATGCCTAGATCTTATCCCCATACTTTTTTTTTGGGGGGGGGGCAATAATTATTGACTACTCAAACTTTGGCATAAGTTTTATTTTTTCAATACTTACAATCTATGTAAACTGTAATAAATATTTCTTGAGCAAATTGTTATTTTACAAGGTATTAGTGAAAATAGTGCAGTCTACCTGGAGAGATTTCCGGGGATCAACCCCCCTCCCCGGCCCGCTCCATAACCAGGCCACCCGGTGGATCAGGGTCTGATCGACCAGGCTGTTACTGCTGGCTCCACGCAGTCCAACATGTGAACCACAGCCCCGCTGATCCGGCACCGACTTTAAATATCTGTTAAGCTCCCTCTTTAGTCATATAGCACATCTGAGCCAATCTACACTTAATATTATTGTCATGCATCTTCCCATATTTAAATAAAGACTCATATCTATTGATGGCAGAGTAAGGTTAGATTATACATGTATAAGGTTAAGATTACATTTTTAACCCTTTGCACAACAAAATAACATCTCAGATGTAAAACAATAATAATATTGTACAATTCAAACTATAATTAATGGTCAAAATTCACCACAGAGCAATTGACTTCTTACCAAAAATTTTAGTGGTCTTAAGGTCACACAAGCATTATGGGCATATAAAATGTACGTTACATAGATTTAACCTAGGATAACCCAATGACGTTACATGTACATATTATACCATAGTAAAAATTTTCCTATGTGCATTACCTAAATAAAAACATACTTAAATTAGGATAACCTACAACACAAATAGTGTGATATTTTCATTTGCTTGAGTTTTTTCTTTTCATTTACCTATGATTGTCACTAAGCCAATGCTATCCTCTGTCAGTAAATTTAGATTTTTTAATAAAATCTAATGAAAAGAAAGAAAGTAATCAAACTGGAATATCCAGGAATTGGAATTGATAGCAGATTGTAATAGTACTTTAGTTAAAAAACTTATAATTATTGCAGTGAAAACTTTTAATGACATTAGTGAACCTTTTTTAGGAGCACTGAACATATAAAGAGTTCCAGTGCTTTATTGGCCATACAACTCAGCCACTTTTGTCATCTCAAAATGCACTTTCCTCTCTGCACTGAAAAACAATAACTAAAAGAATCCTCACTTGGAATAATACAAAGAAATGTTAAATGAAGAAAAACCTACTACATACTACTGTACAGCCTCTCCTCACTTAACGACGGAGCTCTGCTCCAAAGACCACTTTGGTAAACTGTGTCGACCATCTTTGATAGTGTTTTATGTCACCTTTGCACCATTTACAACATTTTTAGTGTATTTTTAAATGTTTATACAGTAGTGTACTGTATATTGTAATAAACGGATTAGAGGAAATCAGCTCTAATGTATGTTATTTAGGTATGCATACTGGTCAGAGAGCCCATTGTAAGTCCGAATTGTCGGTAAACGAGTACAGTATGTTGCTAAGTGAGGAGAGGCTGTATTTGGAAATTAGCAATCAAATGAACCTCAGAATAAGTGGCACCCAAACAGATAATGTAAAACTAAATTTCTCAGATTATGCACAGCAACTTGATCTAGACTGCTAAACTCGTGTATATTTTTGCATGAAATTGACTGCTCATATACCTACCTGGAGAGTGTTTTGAGGGCCAGTTTTCCTGTGGCCTGGCCTGGGACCAGGCTGCAAGGACTTAGACCAGTCATGATTGATATTATGCCTCAATATTCATATAACTAATTAGAAGTAAAAAAAATAACACTATGGTAGGTGCGAATGTTATTTCTCCATATAATTTTACAAATTATTGTGCAAGTTTACTACTGTACAGTAATTAGCTAGTCTTCCCTATACAATATGTAGAAATAATTGACCTTTAATATACCCTTTTAACCCTTTGAGGGTCCGTGCCATAGATCTACGGTTTTACGTTGAGGGTCCAAACCGTAGATCTACGTCATGAGCTCAGCTCACTCTGATAAGCTGTGAGCGGTAAATTTTGGCCTAGATATGAGAGAATACATCTATGTGGTATGTATGCACCACATAAAACAAATCCTTCAGCACATAGTGCATAATGAGAAAAAAAACTGAGACCGTAATTTTCGATTAAAACTGATTTTGCAGTGTTTTTTCGTATGTTTTTTTTTATAGTTGTATTTGCGATTTCTTGGTCGCATTTGATAGAATGGAAGATATATTACAGAAATAGAGATGATTTTGATTGGTTTTAGTACTGGAAATGGCTTGAAACTGAGCTCAAAGTAATGGAAATGTTAAATTTTTGCCGATGTTCAAGAGTAAACAAATGACCTCACACGTCTAATACATGCCTGCTGGTGGGTCTAATATACGTTCACAAATGTGGTGATATTATTTATACAATTATTACAATATTGCACAACAGTCAATCTTCTATTTTTTGGTTTGAATGAAAATTCATTATGTGAATAAAAAATCAAAATGGAATTCATTAGTAAAGCCTGAAAACATAACTAATGAACAGAGGAAATGTTAGTTTAGTGCCAGGAATGCCTGCATTGTTTATTCTGGACCCTATTTTGAAATTGGAGTATTTTGAACTTTGCATTAAATTGGCCAAATTACCAATTTCCAATCACTTTATTTTGTAGTTGAAACAGTTGACTTGGCGAATTCTTGTGTTCAGTCGATAGAATAGAAGTAATACTAGTGAAATAGCTAAGAATTTGGTCGACTGGAATAATGTAATTGGCCTAAAATGGGAGTCAAGGTCGGGAAAATCGCTGATGCGTAAATATCTCTGACACATCAAAATTCGCGAGAGCATAATTTCGTCAATTTTCCATCAAATTTTGTACTTTTTGTTTTATTACCTTCAGAAAAAGATTCCCTACCATTTCATAAGAAAAAATAAAAAAATTATTTTTTTTGAAAATTCTTGGACATTGGTGCACACTTTGAAATTTGGTCTCTGGACCCTGAAAGGGTTAAGGCTCAGCATAATACTGCATTATTTTTATGTACCGTACTCAATAAATGTCTACTGAAATGTTATTTTATTTCAGGTAAATGCTCTTGAATTGCTGCCAGAAGACACTCCAACTATACGGCACTTAGTGGATGGCCTAGTTTTTTCACATTTATTAGCAGTTTTGTATGTATCTTTTAATTTTTTTGCATTTTATAAAAGATCTGCTTTTGCTATAAAGCACACATTGTTTTTCCTAACAGCTCAATCTACTTGCCACTGACATTATTTCCAGTGTTGCAGTAGATGCTGTTCACCATTAATGATTTTAATCATGAGCTAATCACATTATCACATGAGTTATCAATACCAGTTAGCACAGTCATATCCAAATGGCTGACCTGACCATTGTAAATCAGCTGATTAGTCGCATTACTGTTCAACCCCAATTCTTTAGATAGGGCTGAGATTTGAAATGAGTTGAACTAGGATAACAGCTTCTAGGGTGTAAATTCATTTACATTAAAAAAGTAACAAGTATAATGCTGAAATGGATAACAGTTCTTGTTGATAAGGTATCTGAGCCTAAAGATTACTTTTTAAGTTTTATTCTCCCATAGAAATTATTACAGGATTCTGACAGGATTATGTTACAGAAAATACAGTGGTACCTTGAGATACGAATTTAATTTGTTCCAGAAGGCTGTTCGAGTGCCGATACCGAGCGAATTTGTTCCCATAAGGAATAATATAAATTAGATTAATCCATTTCAGACCCCCAAGAATACACTTACAAAAGGGCTTACATAAATAAACTTGCATAATTGTTAGAGTTTTGAGCTGTTTATATCCCGAGGTACCACTGTATATGGATTGCTAAGGTAGCCTGCAATATTTTGACTACATACACAATATGCTACTAAAAAAATAACAAGCTTAGCTTTGAATTTTAGTGGGAATTGCATATGTATGCATGCATGCATGTATATATGCATACATGCATGTAAATGTGTGTATGCATGCATGTATGTATGCATGTATGTATATATGTATGTATGTGTGTGTATATATAAATATATATAATTGTGACCATGAATGAGTGGTATTGATCAGTAACAACACTGCACTAACCAAGGACTCGAACCCATGCTGCTTTTGCCTGCCTCATGGTGGGCGAAAACACATGACGCCCAAATCCACTGGACCATACGATCCTTATGGATTGTATGGCCAAGTGGATTAGGAAAGAGGAGTGATTGGTGGAATGATGAAGTAAAGGGTGTGATAAAAGAGAAAAAGTTAGCTTATGAGAGGTTTTTACAAAGCAGAAGTGTTATAAGAAGAGCAGAGTATATGGAGAGTAAAAGAAAGGTGAAGAGAGTGGTGAGAGAGTGCAAAAGGAGAGCAGATGATAGAGTGGGAGAGGCACTGTCAAGAAATTTTAATGAAAATAAGAAAAATTTTTGGAGTGATTTAAACAACTTAAGAAAGCCTAGGGAACAAATGGATTTGTCAGTTAAAAACAGAGTAGGGCAGTTAGTAGATGGGGAGGTGGAGGTATTGGGTAGATGGCAGAAATATTTTGAGGAACTTTTGAATGTCGACGAAGAAAGGGAGACGGTAATTTCATGCACTGGCCAGGGAGGTATATACCATCTTTTAGGAGTGAAGGGAAGAGCAGGATGTGAGTGTGGGGGAGGTGCATGAGGCATTACGTAGAATGAAAGGGGGTAAAGCAGCTGGAACTGATGGGATCATGACAAATGTTAAAAGCAGGGGGGGTGTATAGTGTTGGAGTGGTTGCTCTTTTTGTTTAATAAATGTATGAAAGAGGGGAAGGTACCTAGGGATTGGCAGAGAGCATGTATAGTCCCTTTATATAAAGAGAAGGGGGACAAAAGAGATTGTAAAAATTTTTTTTATTATTATTATCACACTGGCCGATTCCCACCAAGGCAGGGTGGCCCGAAAAAGAAAAACTTTCACCATCATTCACTCCATCACTGTCTTGCCAGAAGGGTGCTTTACACTACAGTTTTTAAACTGCAACATTAACACCCCTCCTTCAGAGTGCAGGCACTGTACTTCCCATCTCCAGGACTCAAGTCCGGCCTGCCGGTTTCCCTGAATCCCTTCATAAATGTTACTTTGCTCACACTCCAACAGCACGTCAAGTATTAAAAACCATTTGTCTCCATTCACTCCTATCAAACACGCTCACGCATGCCTGCTGGAAGTCCAAGCCCCTCGCATGCAAAACCTCCTTTACCCCCTCCCTCCAACCCTTCCTAGGCCGACCCCTACCCCGCCTTCCTTCCACTACAGACTGATACACTCTTGAAGTCATTCTGTTTCGCTCCATTCTCTCTACATGTCCGAACCACCTCAACAACCCTTCCTCAGCCCTCTGGACAACAGTTTTGGTAATCCCGCACCTCCTCCTAACTTCCAAACTACGAATTCTCTGCATTATATTCACACCACACATTGCCCTCAGACACGACATCTCCACTGCCTCCAGCCTTCTCCTCGCTGCAACATTCATCACCCACGCTTCACACCCATATAAGAGCGTTGGTAAAACTATACTCTCATACATTCCCCTCTTTGCCTCCAAGGACAAAGTTCTTTGTCTCCACAGACTCCTAAGTGCACCACTCACTCTTTTTCCCTCAATCAATTCTATGATTCACCTCATCTTTCATAGACCCATCCGCTGACACGTCCACTCCCAAATATCTGAATACGTTCACCTCCTCCATACTCTCTCCCTCCAATCTGATATTCAATCTTTCATCACCTAATCTTTTTGTTATCCTCATAACCTTACTCTTTCCTGTATTCACCTTTAATTTTCTTCTTTTGCACACCCTACCAAATTCATCCACCAATCTCTTGCAACTTCTCTTCAGAATCTCCCAAGAGCACAGTGTCATCAGCAAAGAGCAGCTGTGACAACTCCCACTTTGTGTGTGATTCTTTATCTTTTAACTCCACGCCTCTTGCCAAGACCCTCGCATTTACTTCTCTTACAACCCCATCTATAAATATATTAAACAACCACGGTGACATTACACATCCTTGTCTAAGGCCTACTTTTACTGGGAAATAATTTCCCTCTTTCCTACATACTCTAACTTGAGCCTCACTATCCTCGTAAAAACTCTTCACTGCTTTCAGTAACCTACCTCCTACACCATACACTTGCAACATCTGCCACATTGCCCCCCTATCCACCCTGTCATACGCCTTTTCCAAATCCATAAATGCCACAAAGACCTCTTTAGCCTTATCTAAATACTGTTCACTTATATGTTTCACTGTAAACACCTGGTCCACACACCCCCTACCCCTCCTAAAGCCTCCTTGTTCATCTGCTATCCTATTCTCCGTCTTACTCTTAATTCTTTCAATTATAACTCTACCATACACTTTACCAGGTACACTCAACAGACTTATCCCCCTATAATTTTTGCACTCTCCTTTATCCCCTTTGCCTTTATACAAAGGAACTATGCATGCTCTCTGCCAATCCCTAGGTACCTTACCCTCTTCCATACATTTATTAAATAATTGCACCAACCACTCCAAAACTATATCCCCACCTGCTTTTAACATTTCTATCTTTATCCCATCAATCCCGGCTGCCTTACCCCCTTTCATTTTACCTACTGCCTCACGAACTTCCCCCACACTCACAACTGGCTCTTCCTCACTCCTACAAGATGTTATTCCTCCTTGCCCTATACACGAAATCACAGCTTCCCTATCTTCATCAACATTTAACAATTCCTCAAAATATTCTTCCATCTTCCCAATACCTCTACCTCTCCATTTAATAACTCTCCTCTCCTATTTTTAACTGACAAATCCATTTGTTCTCTAGGCTTTCTTAACTTGTTAATCTCACTCCAAAACTTTTTCTTATTTTCAACAAAATTTGTTGATAACATCTCACCCACTCTCTCATTTGCTCTCTTTTTACATTGCTTCACCACTCTCTTAACTTCTCTCTTTTTCTCCATATACTCTTCCCTCCTTGCATCACTTCTACTTTGTAAAAACTTCTCATATGCTAACTTTTTCTCCCTTACTACTCTCTTTACATCATCATTCCACCAATCGCTCCTCTTCCCTCCTGCACCCACTTTCCTGTAACCACAAACTTCTGCTGAACACTCTAACACTACATTTTTAAACCTACCCCATACCTCTTCGACCCCATTGCCTATGCTCTCATTAGCCCATCTATCCTCCAATAGCTGTTTATATCTTACCCTAACTGCCTCCTCTTTTAGTTTAAAAACCTTCACCTCTCTCTTCCCTGATGCTTCTATTCTCCTTGTATCCCATCTACCTTTTACTCTCAGTGTAGCTACAACTAGAAAGTGATCTGATATATCTGTGGCCCCTCTATAAACATGTACATCCTGAAGTCTACTCAACAGTCTTTTATCTACCAATACATAATCCAACAAACTACTGTCATTTCGCCCTACATCATATCGTGTATACTTATTTATCCTCTTTTTCTTAAAATATGTATTACCTATAACTAAACCCCTTTCTATACAAAGTTCAATCAAAGGGCTCCCATTATCATTTACACCTGGCACCCCAAACTTACCTACCCACACCCTCTCTAAAAGTTTCTCCTACTTTAGCATTCAAGTCCCCTACCACAATTACTCTCTCACTTGGTTCAAAGGCTCCTATACATTCACTTAACATCTCCCAAAATCTCTCTCTCTCCTCTGCATTCCTCTCTTCTCCAGGTGCATACACGCTTATTATGACCCACTTCTCGCATCCAACCTTTACTTTAATCCACATAATTCTTGAATTTACACATTCATATTCTCTTTTCTCCTTCCATAACTGATCATTTAACATTACTGCTACCCCTTCCTTTGCTCTAACTCTCTCAGATACTCCAGATTTAATCCCATTTATTTCCCCCCACTGAAACTCTCCTACCCCCTTCAGCTTTGTTTCGCTTAGGGCCAGGACATCCAACTTCTTTTCATTCATAACATCAGCAATCATCTGTTTCTTGTCATCCGCACTACATCCACGCACATTTAAGCAACCCAGTTTTATAAAGTTTTTCTTCTTCTCTTTTTTAGTAATTGTATACAGGAGAAGGGGTTACTAGCCCATTGCTCCCGGCATTTTAGTCGCCTCAT